TGCTTTTCAGAGAAAAAAAATCTGCTGCTTTCTCGGCCATGTAACTTTGTATACTAGATGGGCCACTGAAACAGTTTATTCTGGCTGTAAGTGGAACACAAATAAGATTTGGTAATGAATTTCCACGATATTCTTAAAGTACTGTTAGTCAGATTCAGGGAGAGCCAGTTATTGGGCAGGTAGCTATGGCAAGGTTTGCAGAGATTAAGGTAAAAAATTAGAAGCCTCAGGAGAAATACTACTCCCTGGTAGGAAAAGATTTGTTATTTCTTGAGGGTACACAGTTGAAGAAAGGCACTTCCACAGCCTTTATGTTTTGCTTTGGCTAAAGCAGTGCCCACTGTGTGTATCTCACCAGTATTCAGTTAGAGATGGCACTAGGTGCTGCCCAGAGAGACGTAATCCAGGTTTACAACTTGAGTAGCGTGGTGTTTGGGAAGAGCTTGACCTGCTCTCTCTGAAAGGCTGCATATTTATGGTTCTCTGATTTAAGCAACTTGAAAATAGCTATAAAAAGCCAGAATAGTGCAGCTTTTTATAGTTTGGTGCTTGGATGATAAAGTAGTGACATGTCCTGGCTTATTTTGTCTGGTTTACCTGGAACCTGATATATGTTCATTTGCACTGCATGTAAAACAGTTTATCAGTGCTTGTGGAACATGTGCATGGTTCAGTGCTTTTAAAAAGACTACGTGTAAGCTGGTTATTTTATGCTATTTTTAAATGAAAGTGAAAAAAACTTAACAATAGTAGTGACTCACAGTACAGAAAATGGGTATTTATTAATTGTTTAGCTGTGTTTTCAGTTGTTAATATAAAGAAATGGTACTGATAGAGACTTTTAAATCTTGAATTTTGCACCGTTTGCCAAGCTGCTTTACAAACCTGCTCCTGGATGGGATTGTTGGTTGTAGTGCAGCAAAACAAAGCCTGAAAACTGCTTCCCCTTCACTTTAATTCTTTATAAAGCCTCCTAACAGGATGGATCAATCTGCATTTGTCCCTGCTGTTTAGCAGTTTTCAAAGGTGCTCCTTAGGCATAAAGGTCTTTCAGAATCATAGAATCATTTAGGCTGGAAAAGACCCTCAAGCTCAGGTTCAACCACATTCTCTGTTTTGAAAATCATGTGTTTTGTCTGTTTTTTAAAAAAAGTGTAGAAATTGAATTATTAAACCAGGCTTTATGAAACTGTTACCAGTGGCAAAACATGACATGTTTGAGTAAAATAATTTACATAGATATACTGAGTAAACGACACAGTACCTCAAATTGTTTCTAAAGTACTAATTTCTTTCAACCTATTCCTGAAAGGATTTTCACTGATAATGCTTGGTTTGCTTTGCCTCTCTCTGTTCCAGTTTAGATGGAGCATGCCAAATGACTTTGGGCCACTGAGTCATGGGCTACATTTGAGCAAAAACTGAGAGGTAGCACTGCATCATGGTTTGGGCTTCCTGAATAGTTAGGTCTTGGAATACTTTTGGTGTAAACTTTTTGGTGCAAGTTAGAGGGGCAAGGATCTTGGCTTCCCAGAAGAGTGGCCCAGCTCCAATCACCTTCTTATTTAAATAGTCCTAGATATGATGGTCAATTCCAATTATTTCAATTGTAAGTACCAAAATTTGTGCAATTGGAGCTTCTAGTGATAAGGATTTTACAAAACCAGTTCTCAGATTGCGGTAAATTCTCTTGCACAGAGGTGAATCTTGGTAAATGAGCTTGTCTGTAGTAGGTCTTTAATGGGATTAAGCAACATGTCATGTTTTACTACTGCAATGTACTGGATGGTGTATTTTTGGAATTTTGTTTCAGTCATTTCAGAAATTACTAAAGGTGATTACAAGTAGCTGGTATTGTAGCTGTCCTTCTTGGAGCCAGTTCTTGGACTGCATTTTTAGAAATGAGTCTCTGAACCTTGCTTCTTAGTGCATGTATATACAAGATAGGGTATGAGTTTGCACATTAGTAGCTAAAGTAATTCAAGGATCTATTGTATGCTGCTGTTGGAATGAATCAGAAATTAGAACAAAGGCTTCTGTTGGGTGATACTGAAATCTGTAGGGAGTTACGCTACTAGTTTGCCTGATTATTGCTTCTAAACCATCTGGATGTAGGTATCTTTACCAGATATTTTAATTTTTTTTGATAAGTTTCATAAAGCTATATGAGTATTTGTGGGAATGCTGACTTGTGTGGCTTTTTTATTAGTGATATTGGTTTTATTTGGGACCGTATTTCACTGATCTTTCATTTAGTGAGGATTCTAACTTTCCGTGTGGGAGATCTTGATATTAGGTTATAATTCATTGGTTTACTGCTGAAATTCAGAAAAAAAAAACAACTCAGAGTTGTTGGGGGGTTTTTGTGTGTGGTGTGTGTTTTTTTTTGTTGTTGTTGTTTTTATTTTTTTCCCTAAATGTATTATTCTGCTTTCCGTCTGCTTCTGGGTATAACTGGCTTCTATACTTTTTTTCTTTGCAAATGTCTGTCCTCATTGCTTTGTTTATCTTCACTTTTTTGATCTTCTTGCCATAAACAAACATGTATTTGTTCCTTTCCATTCTATCATTCTAAAGCCCAATCTGATAATTGGTACATTTACAAAAGGTAATGTCTGAACAGGTGTAGCACACAAATGCAAGTGTTCATTATAGATCCCAGTAAGAAAGGCGCTCAGACTCTTAACATACTGATTAAAACAATGTTTATTGGAGATAACAGAAGGAAAAAAGGGGATAACATAAATAACTTCACATCTGTTCAGCTGCTGGAACCCCAACTTGTACAACACTGGACAGACATCTAGGCATGGCAAGCTGTGCAAATCCTGTCTGTGGTGAGGATCACCAGCATTGTCATCTTTAGGGCTTTTATAGGATGTTCTTGGAAGTAAACAGCTCTATCATGTTCAGTGGCAAGAAAAAGGATGTTACATGGAAACATGCTGCTTCCTTTCAAGATACGCTAAGACATAGTATCACAGAATGGTTTGGGTTGGAAGGGACCTTTACAGCTCCTCTAGTCCAACTCCCCACGGTAACTAGGGACATCTGCAGCTGGAGCAGGTTGCTCAGAGCCCTGTCCAACCTGGCCTTGAACGTTTCCAGGGATGGGGATGTCTGCACCCTCTCTGGGCAGCCTGTACCAGTGCCTCACCACCTTCATCTTAAAACAATTCTTCCTTCTATCTAGCCTGAATCTCCCCTTTTTCAGTTTAAAACCATTACCCCCCCGTCCTATCGCTACAGGCCCTACTAGAAAGTCTGTCCCCTTATAAGCCCCCTTTAAGTGCTGAAAGGCTGCAGTAAGGTCTCCCGGGAGCCTTCCCTTCTCCAGGCAAATTATACCACATGCAAGTGGTGTAATTGCCAGGTGCCAAGTGGGAGCTGTGTATTCTGTCACAGTTTCTCTGCTGAGTTCATCCAATGGTCTCAAGCAATAAGCATAGTGGAGTGCAGGCCTGCACCTATTCAGGTCAACTGGTATGCGGATCACCAACTCCTTCATGTACAATAGTCTTCTGTTTAAGATCACTGGAGCAGGAACTAAAAATCAGTGTCACTGGTTTTAGATCAACCTAGTAATTATGCTGGTGAAGTCAGTTCAGGAGTTGGAACTCACCAGCTCCAGTTTCAGTTGGTGTAGTTACATTTTTCTTCAGTCGGTTTATTTTCACTGAATAAGATAACTGGAAACTGAAATGAGTCTGCACAAAAAAGCTGAAAGCGCTAGTGGACCTGTAAACCTGCAGACTCTGGCAGCCTGTGCTGTAATCTGCTTTTGTTTTCTGCTTGGTCAAAGACTAAGGCTGCACTGAAATATTTTTATTCCATTACTGATGCAGCTGTTGCATTCCTTCTGAGTCTAGTGCATTTTACTCATTTCTCTTGGTTTCCCTACCCATCTTCTGGTTTCCTGTTCATTTCTCCAGGAAGCTGAGTGCACTCTTGTTGCAGATGAATGGAATGCACCTCCCTCAGAGAGCAGCAGCAATACATTTTATTGAGAGAAAATAATAACTTGACAGGGTTCAATAAGTTCAATGGAATTTAACAAAGTTTTAAGAGTGGTTTGACAAGGTTCAGTAAGTTTGGCAAGGATCACCTTATTCATTGCTGCATGGAAGAAACATACAGAGTAAAATTGAGTTAGAATTAACTGAGAATGATTCACACAGACAGGAGATGCAAAGAGTAAGGAGGACCCTCCCATTGAGCCATGCAGCTCAGAGTGGACCCTCACGCTTTCTGTAGTCCCCTTGGAGCCTAGCTGTGGCTGGATCCAATCTTGGTCGATGGTTTATGTCTAATGGCATTATCCGCACAATGCTTACACTAATATGAAGTAGCTACTTGGATTAGTAATGTTTCATAATACTAATTCAGCATGCTATCAGTCACTTACCAAGGATCTGTCGCAGGTAAGGGATCTCTGCCTTGGGTAAGAAAGGATCTCTTAGTCTCAGGTGAGGAATCTCTAACCTTGAGAGGTGTCCATGCTCAAGGGGAGAGTCACCTGGTGTGCAGTCCAGCTGCAGTTCAGGGAGAGCTCCAGCTGGGCCCATCCTGATGGTAATATTTATTGAGTGAAGTACTTGGCTGCTAGTCAGTAGAATAGACAAGATAGATGTGTGTGTTTTAGCTCTAATACCTTGTTCCGTACTTTGGTTATCTTGTACTTCTGGGTTTTGAAACCACCTCTCAAAATATTTTTCAAGACACTTTTACTCCTTTGTATGTGAGCCGGGGGCTTTCTAGCTTGCAAATTTACCCCAAGGATGTAAGGCCTGTTGTTCCTTAGTCAGCCTGAACCAAAGTACAGCTGAGAGTCAAGCATATCTGTCACAACTCTCAGCTTCAGTGGGAGTTCATTATTTGCTTATTCTGTACCATCTCTATGCTTAAAGTCAAGTACATAACTGCTACACAACTCCTCAGTTTTAAAAATGTCGAGATTTTTACATTTATTAACTTCTGACGTGTTTCTTTGCTCTTTGCAGAAAAGGTACAGTTTGGCTGTTGGTCCTCCCAAAAAGGTTCCAAAAGTCAAGGGTGTAGAGTCTGCAGCAGTGCAAGCATTTCTCAGACGGCAAGAAGAAGAAAAAAGAAAAAAAGGTAATAGCCCAAAATATTTCCTATGGGACACTTTCATTGACTCTTTGAGACTTTGACACCCTCTTCAAAGCTCTTGCAAATACCGCTACACATCTGTTTCTGGAATTGATGCACATAACTGATCCTAAGGGAAAGCCAGGACTAAGTAAGGACGAGGGATGTTTGCATGCTTTCCTTAGGAGTTAAATATTAATCAGCTACACTAGAATTCATTGTTGGAAATGAAGTAGTTATGGTGAAGAGATACTGCAAGAAACCATCTGGACTGCTGGTAACTTAACTTTGAAAAGCTTTATCTGTGTGAAAAAATGGTAAGAGTTCCTGTTGTGTCTTAATCTAGTGTATCAATGCAGTCTGAATTTTAAATTTGTATGATGGGTTTTGAGCTACATTTTTTTTCCACTGTATTATCTTTCCTTTAAATACTCTATAGAATAAAATAATACTGAATTGCTTCCGATGTTAATGCTTTGTTAAAGGTAACCAAATCTGATAGACTGGATGACCCAGGGTCATCCCCTGGACCTCCTCTCTTGGGCTAGTCATGAGCCTGCTCCACATCCCTGGTGCCAGATCCAGCCAGAAGCAAGATTGAGCATGAATTCCCCATAGGCATGCATGCATACTGACTGTACAGTCACGGCCCTTGACACTAGAATAACATAGGAAGGGGATGGTACCTTGACAGGCACCCAAAGCATGAATAGCCCAATCCTTTTTCTAGGAATTGGTTCTTTTCCTGAGTCTTTCTGGTATTTGGCTCTCATCTCCCTTGCTCTTTCCAGTATCTGCCGTTCAGACTTCTCATCCTATTCACTGTCTAGTTTAGCCTGAATTTTGTCAGCAGATCACACACAAAGTAGCTAAAAACAGTTCATGAAGAATACAGGACAGACTATGGAGATAGGGCACAGGGCTCTACCAGACAAATGTAGTGACCAGCAGCTTGCTTATCTGTGGCAGGCTGCTTCTGTGTCTCTACACACACATTCATCCTGTTTACCAATTCTTATTCCCCCCAGTACTCTGATTTACCTCCCTTTCTTCATCTTCCCTTAAACATCTGATAGTAAATTCTGTACAGTCTCAAAATTCTCTTGCTCAGTCTCACAACTCCTTTCATTACCCAGCGATCCCCCATAAATCCTGTATGTCCTTACACAGTAATTCTCCTTAGTTTGCATAGCATTCTGGAAAGGTGTTTCAGTTGAATCACCTTAGTGGGATTTACAGTAGCAGCACTTGACTTAATTGTTCACCTTGGTTTGTCAGAGTAGCTAATTCAGATGGGTTACCTTGCCCTGTTAGCGTACCTCTGATCACTTCTTGGTCTGTTTTGAATAGCTGTTAGCCAGATACCCTTAAATTACTGTCCTAAATGATTTATCAGTTTGAGAAAGAAACTGAAATAAAATAGTGCTTTTGCATAACTTTCTCCTGGCTTTCTTTTACAGCACTGGAAGAAAGAAGAAAGAAAGAAGAGCTCTTGGCTAGACGTATTGAACTGAAGCATGACAGAAAGGCAAGAGCTATGGCCTCACGAACAAAGGATAATTTTTATGGTTATAATGGCATTCCTGTTGAAGAGAAGCCTAAAAAGAAGAGGACTTGCGAGAATGTTGCTCGGGCCCCAGAGGCTGAGCATGCAACAGAAGATGAAACTGAGCACCTTGAATACAGTCAGACTGAATCTGAGCATGAGCAAGAAGAATATGAAGAGAAACCATCCAAAGTTGCAGTGAAACCAAAGGCACCTCACAAAAGTGTACCAGCACCTCTGAACTTCGCAGAGCTCTTAAGGCTTGCTGAAAAAAAACAGTATGAACCCGTGGAAATAAAAGCAGTGAAAAAGGTAGAAGAGAGACCAAGAACAGCAGAAGAATTGAGAGAGAGGGAATATTTGGGACGTAAAAACAAGAGAGTAGAAATGCATAAGAAAAGTGAGAAGGAGATTAAAAATACAGGGTTATCCAGTTCTTCAAAAAAAGTGATTTCTCAGAAAGAATATGTAAATGCAAAACTTAACAAAAGCTCAGTAGATAAACATTCTGCACCAAAAGGCAGTCTGTCATCTTCTATGAGTGGTACTGATAAGAAATCCAAAGCACCAGCATTGACTGAAAAACGCTCACAGTCCTCATCTTCCTCCAGATGTGATCAAATGCAAAAAACCTCACAAAATGGCTCCTTAAAAAGCTCTACTGGTAGCAGTCATAGTAAGTTACCTGTCAATGGTATTGGAAAGTCTGGCTCAAGCTCTCATGTGCCACCCTCAAAACCAGCAGCCAATGGGGCTCAGAGGCTACCACCTGCTAAAGAATCCAGCCTGAAAAAGTCTGTCCATACAAAATCAGACAATGCTGCAGCCCTTCAGCATGGAATCAACTCCAATGCGAAACGATCAGGCAGCAGCTTAGGAAAAGGAGGACCTGGACATCCAGGTGGCAGTTCAAGTGTAGGACCTGGGCGATCAAACAGCAATTCTGGCATGGGACCTGGAAGGCCAGGGAGTGATTTAAGCCCAGGACCTGGGCGACTGGGCAGCAGCTCAGGCACAGGACCTGGACGGCCGGGCAGCAGCTCAAGCCTGGGACCTGGCCGACTGGGCAGTGGCGCAGGTGTGGGACCTGGAAGGCTGGCTGGCAGCTCGGGCACAGGACTTGGGCGACCGGGCGGCAGCTCGGGCACAGGACTTGGGCGACCAGGCATCAGCACAAACACAGGACTTGGGCGACCAGGTAGCAGCACAGGTACAGGACCTGGAAGGCCAGGAGTCAGCCAAAGCACTGGACCTGGGCAACCAGGCAGCAGCTTGGGAACAGGACCTGGAAGGCCAGGCATCGGCCCAAGTGTAGGAGCCAAGCGACCAGGCAGCAGCTTGGGAACAGGACCTGGAAGGCCAGGAATTGGCCCAAGTGTGGGAGCCAAGCGACCAGGCGGCAGCTTGGGAACAGGACCTGGAAGGCCAGGCATCGGCCCAAGCGTGGGAGCCAAGCGACCAGGCGGCAGCTTGGGAACGGGACCAGGCAGGCCAGGAATTGGCCCAAGCACAGGAGCCGGGCGACCAGGCAGCAGCCTGGGCACAGCTGTAAAACCGAAGTGTACTGTTGTATCGGAAACTATTTCTTCTAAAAACCTAGTCACGAGACCTAGCAATGGACAGATGAATGGAATGAGATCTTTTCAAGGGCATAGACCTGTGTTTCATCCACAAGGTAAAGTTCTAGAGCAAATAATTTTTTCACTTAGTTATTTGGTTTGTATTTTTTATATGTCTGAGTTGAGGTCAGTGAGGCTCTTTGACAATTATAGATGCAATTAGGAAGACCTGGACAAAATACCTTTTTTGCCTTTTACAGAGAACATTTAACAGTAGAATGCTTTTTTCTGCTTTGCAACTTTTTATTTTTACCTGTGCTCATATGCCTTGAAATACCAGTCTGGGGCATGAAGAAAACTAAGCAGCCTGTGCTTGATGTTGGTATATGAATGCTGTTAGAAGGAAAAGAATTGAGGGATTCACATCTTGCATTACTTAATTATGCTTAGTCTTTCAAATTTCGTAATGTCTTAAGTAACAGATGGGTAAACTGGTACATAAAAATTAAAACCACACAGCAAACCTGTGACTGATATTTAAGTATTCTGGCTAATTCACCTTATCAGTAAGCAGGCAGTTTCAAAAATTTATTTCTGAACAGGAACAAGCAGCATGGATTCTAGCAAATAAGTGCCTAGATACCCTGAACAAGGACATGGGCTTCTGTCTAGTAGTTTCCTCAGAATGCAGTTGGCAATACTGATATCTAATCTTCTACAGCAGGATTTAGAGGAAGAATTGCTAGTTAACTTGAGGCAGAAGTTTTCCACCTTGAAGCCCAGAGCTGTGAAATGTCTGTGCCCAAGGTATAGCAAGGAGAAGTATTTATATTAATGTTATTAATAACTTTTTTTCACTCCCCTGCCATTTAGGTCTTGGAAGACCACCTATTAGTTACAAGAGACAAATAGAAGATGATGATGATGATGAATATGACTCTGAAATGGATGACTTCATTGAAGATGAAGGGGAACCCCAAGAAGAAATATCAAAACATATTCGGGAAATATTTGGCTATGACCGGAAAAGGTAAGAAAAATGTCAGTTTTAAGATACTGCAGAACAAGCAACAGAACAACAGAAATTAAAATAGTTCAATGAATAGAAATGTTTTAAAAATAGGGGAAGTGCTGGTAGCCATAAATGGTTTTGCATTGCAGAAATTTAACAAGCATTAGAGCTGCTTCTGTGCAGAAGAGACCTTGAATTTTCACACTGCTTGCCACGCTCTTCTGGGGAGCAATAGAAGTTGATGCAATAGGGCATAGTTGGAAAAAACACAGCTGCTTCTATGTCTCACCTGTATAATTCATAGTGATTCTTTCCTATTACTGGAAATGCTTTCTTTAGCAGTCTGCAGTATTTCAGAATCCATCAAATGTAGCTACCAGAATATGACCTGATAAATGCAAGAGTGTTTGTTCTGTAAGAGGATCTAATTTGCTATGACTAGCAACTGCTAGAAGATGAAGGCTTTTATTTGGCTTATTTACATACTTCCCTCTTGTCTGACAATAACATATAAGAAAACAAGCATTTTAAAAGCTTGTAACTTAGATTCTTTCAAAACATAAAAATCTGTGTATAGCAAGATAATTGTCCTTTCTAAGAAAGGATGCGAATTCGTGACTCAGTTGTACGTTATCATGTTTGTTAGTGTGCTAAAAACTAATGTTTAATTTCCAGATACAAAGATGAAAGTGATTATGCCTTACGTTATATGGAGAGCAGCTGGAGAGAGCAACAGAAAGAAGAAGCTAGGAGGTATGCACAGATGTAAATGCAGATAAAAAGTGGGAACCTTGTTTATTGCCCAAATCATGGGGCTAAGAGTGGATATTTGCTGCTTTTTTTATACAGAGGTAAATAAGCCTTACCATGTTTTTATAAGAAAGCCTAGGTAAAGGTGAAACTTAGTCAGCCAGTGGTTGGTACAGTAAGTAAATCTTGTATGCTCATCCTCATACATTACAAACTTCGCTTGTTTAAAAAAAAAATAAACCAAAACCAATGTATGCCCAAAGATCTTTCTAAAAATACTTTAAATGTCAGCTGAAATGCTAACCCCTTCAGTTTGTCCCAAACATTACAGTATTCTGCTAGTTTAAGGACTGGAAGAAGTCTTAATTGTTTTTATCTACATATATGTGTGTGTGTGTGTGTGTGTATTTCTATGTATGTTTACAAAGTACTCTAACAAACTTATAATCAGGGATTTCAAATACAAAGATTATATTTTCATATTGGTTTTGACCATTGGCTTTGGCTTCCAGATCTGCACAATTCTTACATCGCTATTATAAAGCCTGGTGTTCATAAACTGATTTTCTTTTTGTTTTTTAATGGCTGGTGGAACAAGCTTTGTGAAAGTTATGAGTTTTTTACAGATAATGGAGAATATTGGAATACACTGAGTTAACAATTTTCTTGTTCTACTGAAATTCTGATACTGTTGTTCAGAAGGTACCTTGAACACTGGAAACTTGTATCATTTTGAAGTTGTAGTCAGTGTCCTAACTCCTCTGTGTTCCTGGGGAGTAGCTGCATCTCATGCAAAGCTATAGTCTGTTAAATGGAGTTAGAGCGAACAACTGGAATTTTCATGATCCTGCTATTGACAGAATTCCATTGAAGACCTAGAGTGAGGTTTTACAGAGTTGAATACCTGCTTAACTTCTAGCTACACATGCAGCATGAAGGAATTAAACTTCAGTAAAATTAACTATTTTTAGTGCTCAGCTAGTTTTCACTGAGTTTGGTTAAAAGCATTGTGACCCTTGAAATGAGGAACTTCTAAACAAGCAAGTCCATTAAAATGATAGTTAAGTTTGAAGTTGAAATGAAAAATTGTTCTCTGAGGCAGAGTCTTATCACATAGATCCTTGATGTGTTTCTTTCTAATTTTAATTTGGATGATTGCAATTTCCTGAATTCAGGACGACTTTGCTATGTTTGTTTAGGCATAAAATCCATTTTAGAGCCTGTACGGGAACAGTTTAGCCCAGAACAGTTGAATCCTCATTGTCATGGGGTTGAACCTTTTGCATTGAGGTGCATGCTACACTGCCTTATGTTGCTTCATAAAGAACTATGGATGAACAAATGCACTTAGTGGGGCTGCAAATGAGGTAGTAGCTGATCACAAAATGGTAACTTTGCCACACCCGTTCCTAGCGTCAAACCAGCAAGACTATCCAGCCCTTATTTATTGAAATGGAGATCAGTGATTGCAGATTCTGTTTTAAGTATCACTTTCAACATACTGACTTCTATGAGGCTGAAGGAATTACACAGGGATGTATCTAGAACAGGCCACATTAGCAGAGTCTCTCCTGTGGGCCTGTTCACCAGAGTCGTGGCAGCTGGATGGACTGAGGGGGGAGCGATGTTGTGCGTTGTAGCAACCTGAATGGTGCCTCAAGCCAGGAAGTTGCAGCGATCTCTTCTCTACTGTATGACATGTCCCTTCTCTCCCTTGCCCATGTAAAAGGTTTAGCTGGCGCTCAGAAGTTGATGAGAGGCAATCTTGCTATCACTTGTATGTAAGAGATACATTAGTAAGAATTGAGGGGTGTTTCATCAGCTTCATTTTGGAAAAAAATGAGCTTTTGTATTAAAACCAGGTTTTCTCACAATCTTGATTTTTTTTTTTTTTTAATTTATTGTAATGTAATGATAAAATATTGATTTATTTTCTTAAAGCTGTATTCTCACTATAATTAAAGAAAACTTATGATTGTTGAACTGATCTAAAAGTTCTGCTCCAATCAGCTGTAATTTCAGGATTGCTTTTCTTGGGGGAGGGGTAAAAGTAAAATTTCATGTTTCTTGGGTAGCACTGTGTAAAGGATTTAATCTTATTTGGCAGCTTGAGACTCGGTGTTCAGGAGGACTTAGAAGAATTGAGACGGGAAGAAGAAGAATTAAAACGCAAGAGACAGTCTAAGAAGCTGAGGACACGTTAACTGACTTACGGCGTTGACTTTGTATTTCTGCTACCCTCTGCCTCCATACATCTCTTATTCTACTTCAGTTTCCATTTGCTTGTTAGAGGACAAAAGAATATTTAAAGGGATTAAAGTACTGAAAAGCAAGTCTTTAGTTTGACCTAAATAAGATATTTATTTTTAATACTTGCCAGGGTTGGTTTTTTATGAAGAAATTAATGCACTAATGCATATTAAGTGGAATAAAATTAATAGATGTTTCCATTAATTAAACCAGTTCAAGATGCCAGCAGAAATATTGACTAGCTATGCACTGACTCGGAACTGTGTGGCCCCCTATACTGGTAAACCAATTCTGCTTTCACTTGAAAGAAAGGAATAGCATTCTTGTTCCCTGATGTTTCTTGAGACTTAGATAAATTGCTTTATATCCTACTCCGCCTCCCAACTTGAGCCTCAAAGTATTGAAGTGTCATCTTCTGTTCAGAAGCAGCTTGGGTGTAAATTCAGCCATTGCCACAGATGTTCAAAGCAATAAAGTGCTGCATATTTTCTGATTTGAGGGCCCATAAAAATAATTCGAACCTCTATTTCTAAACAGAAAAGTGCATGTCATTTGCAAATTTTACAGCTATAGATACAGCAAAAAGATTATGTTGGCTTTTGCTGTGTCTGGAATTCCAGTGCCAGTGTAATTCAGTATGATACACGCCCTGAAAATAGGAATTTCTAGTGTATGTCTAACCTAGTGCTTTTGGGCTCAAGCGTATGCTTGGGAATTCTTTTCCTGCCCTGTAAATCCTCACATTTGTTTAACAGCTTCTGCTGCTTTTACAAATTGTGTATGGTACACATGTTCTTTCTTGCATTAAACATCCGATGTGTTAAATGATTTAAAATGTGAAGCAGTCATTTATCTAATTAGGCTTACTATTTAGAAAGCACATCAGAATTAAGTTTTGTTAAAAAGTATTTGCAGCGCTTCAATATTAACAACTTCATGTTAACTAGTTAATACTTGTAATTAATTTCATCAAACCAAAAATCTAAACTGTTACGAATAGCAGGAGAGTTAGTTCAGTTACCTAACTGCCCATATTTGCACATTATTTCTAACTATGCACTTAAAAGACTGTTTCTTTCAGTAACTGAATTTGTTTACAGTCAGTACAGGGTTCATGTAAGTCTACAGGAGTTGTACTGAGTCTGAAGCTCAAAGCTGGTGCTGCATCTACTTTATTTCCCCGGGTTGCCCTTCAAAGCTCACCAGTATCACTACTCAGCTTTGCCTCATGCTCCAGGACTCCACTGATAGTACCTCTGGCTTCAGCTGCTGAGGCTGATGTGTTTTAATGCTAGAAGTACTTGGAAAAGTACAAAAAGGGCTTCGTGTGTTTGGGGAAGGAGGGAAGTAAAGGAATAAAGGAGAAATTACCTTGTAGAAAAAACAACAAAGGAACCTTTCCTATCAGGGGGCTATTCCTAACAATGCTGCTTCTAGGAAGCAGTTCAGATAGCAACTTGTAAGAAACAATCTTGGAAGCTGCTGAAGTTTAAACATCTGACTCTTAATGTAAGAAAAAACAGATTTGCCTTTTTAAGATGTCTTCTGTCAATGGTGTAGCATTTCACTGCCTCAGTAAAACATGTGACATGAGTAAGCTATTGGGATAGATAATTCAGTATTAGCTGACATGGAGCCCAGATGAAAATACCACCACTGCTGCTCTGTACTTTTAACTTTCCATATCAACTAACAAAAACCATTTCTCAGTGTATGCGCTTGAGACCATGCAAGATAGTGTAACCTCACTGCTTGTCTAGAAGTGTGTTGTATTCACTCTGCTTCATTGGGACCATCTAAAATTTTCTGTTGTAGTTCCTAGAATTATCCATTCAAGACAATGAACATTGGGACCATGATCAAGTTGCTGGGGTTTTTTTACTTCATAGTCCTTTCTAGATGACAAAAGGCTGTAGGTCTGTCAACCCAGACAGCTATATCAGCTGTGAGCAACTTCCTGCCTGGCTGGGAAAAAAGTCCCTTATGAAGCAAAAGAAATATATTCAAAATTGGTTCATCTGGGAATTTAATCTGCATTTCACATAAATATAGGTTAAATAAAACTTGATTATTTCACCACTTTCTGATTACTTAACCATGCAAGATCAGTTAAATTTCTTAATCTGTAAAGCACTTTGTCATTTGTCTTTTAGCTGATGACTGGAATGTACTCTGCTAGCCTCCCTAAGACACTGTAGAACGGTTTCTTCACACAGTGATCACTGCTTAAATTTTGTCTTTCGTATGCAAAATTAGTCAAGGACACATTTGTAATTTTACAGTCAAGAAGTACTTTCTCATAATTGGCATGGGATGCTAATGGTTTTCAAATTTTATATGAATGTTTAGGTTTCAATGTGTTTGCATTTGCTGCATGTTTGTAAATCGGCTAGGAAGGAACTAAATTTGTGTTTCCAGTTCCTGACCTTGTATCCATAAAACATGTTTACTATTTGCCAGATAATAGTATTAATCTAAGGAGAGTACTTCAGTACTTGTCCAAAGTGCATCTGAATTTGAGGTTAAGAAAAAAAATGGAAAAATGCTTATATCGGTTTCTGAGGAGCTGATGTTAAGATAATGATTTAATTGTATTTAATGAAATTCTGGTTTGTTTTTTAGATTTTTAATTCACTGTTTGATAATGTGCCTTTTTTAGTAAATTGTGTCAAAAAATAATGAATGTAGGAGTATAAAAAGGTTGGTCGGTTTCTGCTATCTCAGATTCTATATCCTTAAACTTGATAGTGTGAAATGACATACTTTTCATAAAACCCTTCCAGGTCTGGCTTTGATTGCACAATTACAGTAGCTACTTCTTTACTGCTAATGCTAAATCAAATGAAGGGCACTTTCTATTGATGACTACTTTTTGAAAAGGTCTTGTATTTACACTTGAGCTGTATTTCACTTTACAGCGATGTCTTTTGGAGGCCAGGGTTTTGCATATCACAGCAAGCCTTAGTGTGCAACTCTGTGCTGTGCTTTAAAATAAAATTCTTTCAAGAAGTATATGAGATCTCTATGGAAATCTGGATTTATTTTTATGTAAAGTCCAAAATATTGTCCAGGAAAACTAATTTTCTATTTTTTTTGCATTTTGTAACATAATCTAGTAGCTGATGCATATTTCTAGATATAGCATATTTCTGGAGACCAAAACATGTCATAAAATAAATATATGGAGAGACTGGTGTTTAAATTGTGATGAATGTACTTCTATTTATTTTGGTGAGTGGGTGTGATGCAATATTAAAGTGTTAGTGTGTAAATAAGTGATTCTAGTTCTAGCCAATGATTTTTTTTCTTTGGGGATATCATTTGTGCACAATGTCTTTTTACACAATGTGACAAATCAGGTTAACTCATACATAGCTTAACTGTTTTCTGGTGCTGTCAAGAAAGTGTACACTTCTGCACACACCAAATGCATTTAAGTTTTGCAGAGTGCGTATCCAATAAATTACAGGCGTTAAACATTCTACTGCTATTTCTCATTGGTTTACTTTATGGAAGATTTCTCAGAATGCTTTTCTGCTGGCTTCCTCTGACCTGTCACATACGGCAGCAGTAGGCTGAATGTTCTCCAAGGATTGTTCTCTTGTTCTCATGCAGCCAGCAAGAATGTATGAAAAATTAACAGAATCACTTAAGTGTTTAGAAAAGATCTGAAAATTATTGGCGCCTCCTGTGGTTTAGACTTGTTAATTCATATAGATTTGGAGGTATGTGTGTTTTAGTACGATAATATACACAAGTGTGCCTGTTGCCTTTAATCTCTCCACTTGGAGTGTGGGGTTTCATCCTGCAGTTTCATAAGCAGCATCTTTTTTGGATTCTCCTCTTGCCATGTACAGAATCTGAACCTCCTCAATTGCTGTCTCCTATGCCATGGTTTACTGCTTCAGCAGGTGGAGGTAAATACTAGTGACTGTTCTGACCAGCTTGTGCGGTGACCCACTTCCAAACAGATAAATGAATACACATCCAAGTAAGCCCATTTGCCTTCCCTTTGGAACTCCTGTGCTTAAAAAAATCTCACCTTGATTGGAATTACCTTGTATGGAATTCCTTGGGATGTTTAATGTGTCTTTTATAGCTGTAATCAGTCATCAGTTGTTATTTCAAAGCAAATATATTCTCTTCAGGTGGAGGATGATTCTACACTGAGTTATCTTAATCCAACCACTAAAGCTGTACTTCTCTGGAAGCAATAAAATTATTTTACTCGGGTTTGGAAAAAGATAATTACAGGTTTCCCTCATTTGAGGACAGTTTTTAGTTATAACTTATTTGAATCAACATTTTAGTTCCACAAGCCAGAACTCCAGTTTAGTTATCCCATAGATAGCTTTTTCTTACTGCTTCAAATGCATATGGAAACATTTATTTCTCCATGAGCCTGGGGATCCAAAGAGCCTTTGACATATCATGCCTAACATACTTTGTGGGATGAAATTAAAGACAGAAGAGGTTCCTGAAGTAATGAAACATGTCACAAGTTTAGTCCTAACTTCTCTATTCACAACTGATTAATAGTTTTGTTTTTCCAAACCATCTGGCTTAACTTGCTTTGGGGATTTTCTCCAAGTTCTTCATGGGAGTCCTGGTTTTTGCTTATATGCTTTTTCCTGCTTTGGCAAATTCATACTCTTTTTTTTTTGGTATGCTGGATGCAACTTCTGCCCAGTTTTTCAACATTTCACAGTTGTTGAAAGGCAAGTATCTGATGCCATCTCCTTATCATACTCTGTGTGTGAAAGTTGATAGCAATTGACAAAGAATCAAGAGCTTCAGTGATTGTGTTTTTTCTTGTTAAAGGAATGGGCTTGATTCTGACTTGAAAAACAATTGAGTGTAGTATTCTTGGTTTTCTAATTCACTCAGAATCACTAGGAGAGCATATTTATGCACACACTGATTGTAAAAGTATATAAAGCACATGAATGCTTTACGTGTGCTTCTCAATGTATTTAACCTCTTTTGTGGACTTCTTCATTGAGGTAACTAGCTTCCTTGAATGATACAGGTAGGGATATGTTTGTTGTGGGTCTGTCCTCACCTCCCTATCACAATAATTATTCCTCTATGCCAGCCTCTTCCAGCTCTTGCGTTGCATTAATACTTTGTGGTCCCTCAACACATCCACTGTCATGACACTTGTCCAGATAAAGAAGTGGTGTGCATGTTAGAGCATTACACTTGTTGATTGACCTGCTGCTCTGCAATTGATAAAGGACTCTGCTTACTATTATTTTTCCACAGTAGGGTACTAATATGAGTCAATCCACCTCATGTGGCTCTTGATTTCTATAGAATGTGCAGGAAGTCTGTTTTTGAGACATTTACAGCGGTCTCAAGTGTGACCATAAATGATGCATAGACAGGCAGCCTGGACATGTAAGATGAATCTTCAGAGTTCATGCAGAGTGATGCGCTGTTGTTAACAACCCTCTTCCCCCAGCTGAAATGAGTGAACCAACAAACCCTTTATTAACCTGGCTTCTTTTTGCTGGCTGTATTTAAAAAGGGAACGTGGTGATGGCAGTGTATAGTGTGTGATGTGGCCCAGGGCTATGGGGAGCCCTGTTTCTGAGCAGTGAGAGATGCTGGAACTTGCAGGAAAAAATAACTTTAATGGAAGACCATTTGCTGCCATATGTAGTTGGCAATGAGATCTAATGTACCTCAAAACTTCTGGTTTAAATCCAGCCTTGGCTGGATGATGCTTTTAAACTGATAGTTATCATGTATACTATGGTCTCAGTCTAGTTCACACACATGAGTAAGTTACTTGTTCAGAACAAAGGAAAACACTCAGGTAAGTAATATTCTTACTCATGGTATTTCCAGAGCTGAAGCCAGTTTGAGTTTTGTGAGGAAACTTGCTCCTGCCACTTGTGTTGCAGTTGGTCTTCATTTATTCCCTGAACTTCAGTATCTAGGATGATCACTTGAGCATATTTGAGAAGTGCAAATTTTGACTGTACCATTTACTATGTTCAACTTGTAATTTCCATTCCATTACCTTTAATTTGGACAACTCACACTATTATTTGATTTTCTCCACGGGAGAAAATTCTTTGAAATGCATCCTGAATTGTAGTTTCATGTTATTGAGAACCTTTTCCCTTGGCTTTGCTCTATACTAGTGTACCTAGAGATACAGAATGCCCATGGGTAAGCAGAAAAATGAGACATATTTAAAATATGAAAGTTTAAGACAGTAAAAATGATGCCGCTTTCCTCTTGGGTGGAGCTGAATAAAATTTAAAAGCCACACACTGTAGAACTATCTCCATGTTCCATGAGACTGTTACTTTATTTTGCCCTTTCCCTTACCATCTCAGAAACTGCAGCCTATTTTCTGTGTAATTAAACATCTTAACTTTTCTACCAAGTCTCAAATACAGTAGTAAGGAGACCCATACTGCTTACAAAGTACTAGGTTTTTGAATACATAAGGTGACCTTTTATAGAGAAAGGAGTTGTAATAAAGTAAGAATTGGATTTACTGATTGATAAATGCCAGCTTGGGGAATTTTCTGTAGCTTGTTTGGTAAGAATACATGCAAAATGCTATGGCCTCATTTGGGAAGAGCACAGTGTTACCAGTCATGCTGGTGTTACCAGGTTATTTGTGTTGAAAGTTGATACGCACTTGAAAGCTTCTCTAGAGATAGTGTTTGATAATATGACTTGATCCTGAAAACTAAGTTTCATATTTTTACCTCTAGAAATCGTATAAACTTTGAATTGACACCAAATCAATGAGGTGTTAGTCAAAACTTTGACCAATAGACAATCAAATAGAACAACAAACCTTTTTGTAGCAGATTAAAATTTAGTACGTCCAGTAAAGGGCATTCATTACTGTATTGCAACCACCCAGGGATGGTGTAAGGCAAGGTGTGTTTATCTTCAAGACTGCATTTAACAGAGCACCCTCATTGCTCCTGAAGCTATCGCTATCTCTTTCTCTGACCAGGTTCAACTTCAGCACTACCCCGAGTGCTTCTGACCTGCCTCATCCTACTTTGGCAAGTTGAAGCGAGTGTGTAAACACACACAGATGAAGTAAATAACTGGCAGAAAATATCTTCAGAAAGAACAATTGTACTGCTGGCTTCCTTCTTGCTTAATGTTTGGGAGGTGCTGGACTAGGAGAGCTGAGAGCCAGCTTCTGAAACTGCGGGAGAAGGGAACTTTAGTAGCAAAAGGTAGAGATCCAAGTGACGAGAGGTGAGAGGAACTACTAGAGAATGGGTACGTGGGGTAGCAAGACTGTGTTCTCTGTGAGCAGAATGTCAGCCTGCTAGCAAGATATTTCATTACCTAGAGATTAGTTGGCATAAATCCATTTAATACGGAATTATTCATTGCAGATGATGTTTAGAGCAGATTTTGAGTCAGAGGGCACAGACGCAGCTCTGAATTTAAAGAAGCGTTTGACCGGTGAGTATTAAGAAATTTGGATCTGTAGTTTGGGTGCAGGCTTAGTCAAGAGTGACCACTAAGCCTTGCACAGAAAGGGTATCACCACTCTTGAGACAATAGTAGTGTGTTGCTACCATGGATATGTTGTTACGGTTCTGGTTTCTATGATTATTTTGATACCGCAAATATCTGTCAGACTTTCCTAGTTGTTTTTACCATGAAAAGGGAGAAATTACAAATTTAAATGCTTGAGATTAAAAATATAAAAGGAATGCTGTGTTCTCAAACATTAGTCTGTGCTAGGACCTTTGTGAAACAAAATGATTTTCAAATTGTCTCTTAAAAGGGTTTAGATAAATGTTCACGGCAGATCATTCTGTAACAGCTCATCATGGGATTCGCTGTGTTTTCACCCTCCAAAAAAGCATGTAGCCACAGAGGCTGTAGCAGGGTAGGGTGAAGGCAGCTGCAGCCTTACTGGGACCCCAGACCAGTGCTCTCATCATCCCAGTAAAGCTTTAATTTCCTGTTCCTTCTACCACAAACCCCAGGTTGCCCAGAACACTTCCCCCTGTTTACAGAGGGTCTCTACGACAGCACCCACCACCCCAGAGAAGGCAGTGAGTGAGGTTATAATGGTTACAGTCCCTGAGACAAACTTCCTCCACTCCCACTGCTGCTGCAGCCATGGGACACTGTCCTCTCAAATGCCAAGCTATGGTTCCTGCTTCTAGACAGGCTTTCACAGCCCTAGGTACAAGATGCTGTTGTGAATCCACCTAGCTAGGATTCTCAAGTGCAAGAAAGACCAGTATGTGATGGTCCTAGCATCCTGTTGCAGAAAAAGATAAAGTCAGTCTCTTCTCTAAGCTGGGTTGTCTATTAATATCTACCTCCTGAAACTGAGTTGCACTGAATGTGGACAGCTGGAAACTAAAGTATCTGCCCTGATATGGAGAACATCATGCCTTAATAAGCAATATTTTAAAATAATCAGATGCTGATTCATTAAGAAAGCTCCAAAGTGCCAGAAAGCAGATCCTTACTAAGTTATTTTAAGTCAGCTTAACTACAGCAACTGATTTTGGCAGGGCCTGTCCCGCTTGAAAACAGCGTATCTCAGGTTCCGCCTTGTTGGCTTAAAACATAAGACTGTTCTTTTAGGAGTTCTGCATCTAATGCCTTTGCAGTGCAGGGAATGGCAGGCAAGCGGGTGCCGCAGCAGCAGCGTGTGGGGAACCTGCATGAACTCGGCTCTCCGGCTACAAGTGCCTCGTGTGCCATACCCTCACCTGTCATCTTGAAGAACGTGTCTAAATGGGATCCCGGACAGCTGTAAGTTTGGGTGGGTTTGGTTTTTTCTGTTGGTTTTTTTTTTTTTTTTTTTTTTTTTTCCCACAGATTTCAGCCTTTTTTAGAGACTGCAGCCCGGCTGGCAGGTTGGTGCATCCCACGATGGGTGGAAAGTCACCCAGCCAAGAGCTCTTTGCATTCACCTGTCGTGGTAACGTACCGAAGCACTCATTCGACCCCCCGCTCGCAGATCCATCAGAAGGAAAATTTTAAAATGACTAAAGAATTTTTTTTTTTTTTTTACTTTTCTCCCCTCGGTTCCCCAGCAGACAGCCGTGATTAGGGGGTGAGGCCGCGGCCGCCGCCTGAGGGAGGCGCAGGGGCTGCCGGGAGGCGCCGCGCCGCCGCCGCCATGGCGTTCTCGGAGGAGGCGCTGCGGAAGCAGCTGGGCAAGGTGCGCGGGGGCGCGCGGGGCCGGGGAGCCTGAGGGGGGCTGTGGAAAATGCCGGGTTTCTGGTTTTTTGGTTTTTTGTTGTTTTTTTTTTTTGGGGGGGGGGGGCGGGATGGGGTGGAGGGGGAACGGAACAGCCCCCCTGAAGCACACGGGGACGGGGCGTGAGAGATGCGGCCCCCGGTCGGCAAAAGTTCCTGGGAGTCAAAAAAACCCCCTGAGGTGCTGTGAGGGGAAGGGTAGAGCTGAGGGAGTTCTGCCGCTCAGCGCCCCCCCCCCCCCCCCACCCCATCCCCGCCGGCTTTAATGTCGTGACTTTCACCGCTCGCGAAAGAGTTCTGTCGGGCCCGGGATGCAGGACTTGAGGTGCCTCGCAGGGTTCTGTCCCCGTGGCCCAGGACACGCAGCGCCTGTGGCGGCTGCCTGTCGCCGAAACCCGCCTCGGGGCGGCGGTCCCGGCGTTAGTATCTCCGTGCTTTAGAAACACAGCTTTATTTTTATCGCATCCATCTGAGGTAAAGACGTTTTAATTTCCCTGTGAGAAACTGAAGAAATACGTGTTTAAATTTTGGGCACGCCAAATAATTTAAGGTGCAAAATAAGGAAGGGTTGCGTGTCTGACTTGCCTCATAACTCTTACAATCTTTAGAAAAGATCAAAATCCTTGATGAGTGCTTAATTTTGCATTACAAATAAGCAGGGGGTCAGCTGGGAAAAGATGGCTTTGATTTCAAAACCAGATTTATCAACACGTATGAAAATGTGTTGTGTAGACATATGATTATTTTATTTTTTTAACTCTGTGACTTCACAGTATCCTGTAAGACTGAATGGGGAGAAACTGACTAAAAGGTGTTTCTTTTCAGCAGCTTTGTGTTTTCTTGTACGAAGTGGAAAATAATCCTGCCATCCGTGTAGCTGTAGTATTGCAGCTGTTTCTGGTGGGGTGACTTTCTGAAGAGACTGTAGATTTTAGCTACTACTTTGTGATAAGTATTTTAGTGTAGTGAGCAGCTCTTTAAGCCAGTCAGGCTGCAGTTGTGTTTGTGTGGGTGAGGGTTCCAGGACAACTCCAGGCTTCCTAACATGAGAAGCATATGCTATAATCTAGGAAATGGAAAATATTCTTCATAACTTTCAGATGTAGGAGGATGCAAATCTCTTGGAAGTTCAGGTATTGGACTGACGGGGGACAGTCTAAATGAAGTAGCAGTGATGGATTCTTGCTAGTAATTACTTTCAGATCATTTCAAATAATTCAGATTACTACCTTCCACTTCTCGTGTTTCTTACCTTGTCTTGGTTCCTTTCCTGTATCTCTGGCAATGAAACCAAAAGCCTTTGAAGTGAAACTTTTTTTTTCTGATATTTTTTCTCCCTCCTTCCCAGTATAAGTTCAGAGACCTGACCATAGAAGAGCTAAAGAATGTTAACAAGACCTACCCAAACTTCATGTTCTCCATGAACACATACAGTAAGAAGTGATACAGTTACTTTGAACTAATTGTGGGGATTCTTATTTGCGATAAATTCAGACTATGTATAATAAAAAACTAAATAGCGTGAATATCTTTTAGTGGTGTTCCTATCTTTATTTTGACTCAGTAAAATTTTTCATGCTGTGTGACTATTTTTGAAAGCTCTTCCAAGAATGCATACATACAAAATCCCAAGCAAACTCATTCACTAAATTTCATTTGATTTTAACTTGTCAATAATTGTAGAAGATGGATGTTCTTTGAAATTCTTTATATGTAACAGAATTTTTCCCATATCCCATGATTATATCAAAAGCATTTTGATGTCTTTAGCTTATCAAATGTAACTTCCAGAATCTCTCAGCCTGAATGAAAGTTCTTACAACACCAGAAGTACCCAGGACAAGGGATTTTCAGGCTTATGATGTGCTTAGTTGTACCGATGCAATTTTCATTAAGAGTCCATTAAGGACTATCTCACAAGGGGGAGGAGGGACCTTAGTAACATTGTAGTGTTGGTTCTTTCAGGAGCAGTGTATTTGATTTCTATATAAAAATCAGTGGTTTATATTGGTAGTTGTGGATGGGGTTGCCATGCCAGATTTGAAAGGATTTTTTATTATTATTTCTTAAAATCACATTTTTAATTTCAGCCTTCAGGGATGGATCCCAGAAGGACCTCCTGAATTTTAGTGGCACTGTTCCAGTGAAATATGGTAAGATTGATATAATTTCCTTACCAGTTATGAATCTAACTGTAAAATATGTTGGGTACTGCCTCATAGCAATATTCTGTGCAGCTTCTTTAAAGATGTCTATAAAGGGTTTTGCATTAATTGGAAGAAGCCACTTCTTATGCATAAACAAGTGCCTTCATGCATGCACAGGTGCTGAAATAAGGTGCTGTTAATTAGATAAGTCAATTAACTATTAAAAAAATAATGTATTTTGAGACTACGTAGGCAAATTCTTTGGTTCTAATGGCAGTTGCATGAACTCCACAAGCCCTGTGCTTGTATATAGACAGTGTCCAAAAATAACTAGTAGATATTTTTTTTATTTTTTAACTTAAAGCCTTTGAAGTCTGAGGTAAAGCTCTTAATAGATGCCTCTCTGCATCAGTTGTTGAGTCTTATAATAGCTATGAAATGGGTAGCTGTAGGAGATTTCTTTGCCCAGAAAAGGGGACACATTGTCTGATAGAATATTCTGGGAAACAAACCAACAAAGCTTTCTATTAAGAAATACACCGTTGGTAGCATTTCAGGTTTATCCAGACAAGTCTGTTTTTATTAACTAGCCCTAGTAACATACATGCTTTCTAGTGTGAATCTAGAAAGTGATCTGCCAGGCTTTTTTTCTTTGTTAAAGTGTGAATCACAGGCACACCTGCCTGGCTTTTAGGGCCTCTTCTCAATGCAGAAGCTAGTAATGGTTTTTATTTTGTGTTGAACAGGTAATTTCTATAACATACCTATTCAGCTGTGGATTCTGGATTCTCATCCCTTCGCTCCCCCCATTTGCTTCTTGAAGCCGACTGTGAACATGGGCATTTCAGTGGGAAAGCATGTTGATGCTCATGGCAGGATTTATTTGCCCTACCTCCAAAACTGGAGCCATGTAAGAGGTGGAGTGACTGACGGGGGAGGGAAGTATTTGGGAGTAGTGCATGGTGTCCTATGGAAATCAGTGGAGAGGAGTTTGGGGCTTTTTTCTTCTGTGTTTTTTTTTGTTAAATATGTAATGATTATGCAAAGAGAAGCAGAGCATAATGTCTCTTGAAATTACAGCTTTCAGACAGTCTGAGACAAATGTAAAAAATTGTAAGTGATTGTAAGGAAAATTATTTTAAGCTGAAGAAAAAAGGGACTGACTTCGTTACAAAGCAGTGTAAGCCTCATGATACTTTTGTTGCTGTGAATAGCGGGTAATATTACTAGACCAATTGAGTATCCCTCAAGAAAGTTCAGTGGAAGTTCCTACTTTTTGAGTATGTCTCTTTCAGCAGAACTCTGAAACATGAACATGGAGATTCAAAAGCCAGTGCTGTTGCTAAATGATTTTATGCACTGTATTAAATAACTAAAGTATGACTGCCAGGCCAGTAAAAATTATTTAATGAATGCAAGTTTTCTGAAATGGATGGAATATATTATACATTATTGATACAGATATTCCCATGGGAGCTTCTACTGACTTGACTCTGTGTTTTGCCCGAAGGAGGACTGAATTGCCAAACCTCTGCACAGTTAAGCTTGTCTGAGAAGACTGAACTATCTTTCCTTTAGTTATGATTTGTCCCGCTTATAATGGATGTGGCTATATCAAAGGCTTCCATATGTTCATGGATGCCTTCAAAAACTAGTTGCACTGGTAATTTCAATTTTATAATTCCTTTTTGTTAAATTCTTTTTAATCCACACTACTGTTTGGAAAGTAGTTTCTCAAAAAGTGATGCTTTTCTTTCCCTTAAGTGTTTATGTAAGTGTTAAGGGTGTCAGTATTTATCATTTGATTACATTTTGTATAGCTATGGTTATTTATGAAATACTGCAGTTTACAGCTGATACCACTGTGTGAAATAGCTAGTCAACAGTTTTGTCTTCTCTGTTGCTATATTTCAGCCTAAGTCAACTGTTAACGGATTAATCAAGGAGATGATTGCAAAATTTGAGGAAGAGCTCCCTTTGTATTCACTGTCTTCTTCTGATGCAGCCAGGCAATCAGAACTTCTCTCCTACATAGCAAAGATTACTGAAGGTGTGGACATTTTCACATATTTGTTTGTAATGTTCTTATACAATATATCTTCTGTTGTTACTGTGTGATACCACAAAGATGCCTACACAATTTTAATATCTGAATTTTGAATGGTTGCGCGTTCACAGTGTTTGGTATTTTCTCTCAAAAGTGCCACATTTTGAACAGAGAGCTCACATTCTCTTTATTTGAGTAAGCAGCTCATTTTGAATGTTTGCATTTAAGCCTACTGAAAAGTGCTGTAGACTTGGTAATACTCATTTGTTGGAAATTACTGCAGCAAAACTCAGTGTGAGATCTTGTGAAAGGGAAATGTGATTTTATTATAAACAAGTTGATTTTACCCACTCACATTCATTCTCTCAGATCTCATTCACTCATGCTCTTACATCCACAGTTGCAAGCCCCGAGACCCGTCTGACCACAATCACTGGTGTGCAGCACTGAGGACAAGGAGTGCTGGCTGTTGAGTCCCTATCACCTGTCTTGGGTTTTTCTTATTCAGCAGTGATAACCTGATTTCGGACTTGTCTTTTACACCCTTCAGGAGTGGATGATATTTGGCATTTTTGCCTCATTACTTTATCTTACCCATTGTGAGTCATGGGCAAAATTCCTGAATTTCACAGTTCTCATTTTTCTCTTATCTGGGTACTTTATGGCTCTAGTCCGTTGTTCTTCATCCTGACACATTTTCTTCAGGTCAATCTTCTTCCTTCTATTAGTGAAGCCACAGATAGTGATCTGTGGCAACTAGTGAAAATCTTTACCTTTAACTCTTTTCTGCTGTTTCTTCTGGTAATTGTATATACATACATGCTTGTGAGCACAGACGTGTGTGCACACAATACGCGTTTCTAGGCAATCAATGTTACAAATCTCCCTGGATTATACTCAGAATGAGAATCACTGTGTTACCAGTAGCATTGGCTAAACAACCTCAAATCACTGTATTTTAATCAACTTCCATTTTTCATGTCTTTTCAAACTATGAAATCTTTTACAAATTTTACGACCCTGGTATATATTCACACCTGTAACAGTAGCAAAAGGAGTATTGTTTGTATGGTCTTAGTGTCTAACTTCTTACTATTGTTATATTTTCTACTTAGTGAAAAAATATTCCTATCCATAGAGGAATATTTGTGTTTTACACCTTGCAAGTTTTTATGAATTTTCTGTGCTCAGGCTTGACTGCTAATTTGAAGAGTTTGTATAATTTGGTTTAACTCTGGCACAACTGTGATCCTTTATGAAGCAGCAATCCTTGTATTGGTATAGCGTGGACCAGCACTTAAATTTGTGGTTTTCTTTTAATCGTAGGAGAGACTGACATGAAATCAAAGAGTAAAATTGGTGGAGGCAAAAATGAAGGATGTTTTAACAAAATAACTGTTGTTGGAGCTGGAGATCTTGGCATTGCGTGTGTGCTAGCAGTTGCCGCAAAGGTACATGATTATTATAAATAGCAGAAGACCCAATTAATAGAGAGGCTTCCAATCTACTTCTTAGCATCTGACACACAGAAATAACTCATCAGTTTTAATAGCTGTGTCACTGATTATGTCATTTGCTTCAGTTAATTTATGGACACACAGAAGTGTTAGTTTCTGTCCTGTTTTCTCAGCTTTTTAAATACAAAGGGTTGAATAATGAATTCACTTATTTTGAAGATCCTTAGTTAAAGAATTCTTGCTGGAGTGGTAGCCTCTTACAATTGGGATCTCCTAGTCCCCTGGAAGAGGATAGTCTGTAGGTGGTCTGTGCTTCATAGTGGCTATATGCTCAGAGGCAACAGTAGTATCACTATTAATAAAGTCCCGGAGATGGTGTTGTGAGTTTATTTGTTTCATAATGCATTATTTTCCAATTAAACTAACTAAACTAAATTCTTATGATTAGGCAGTAATTTTGGTCAGTAATTTTGTTTGTTTTATACGCAGTACAACAAACACTAGAATTAGAGAAATACTAGGTTTTATTACTCACCCCCATGGGAACAAGTTTTGGGTTGTTTTATTGTTGATCTGCATTATTTTTATTCATACAGGGTGCTGCAGACAAGGTGGTTCTTTTGGATCTTTCTGAAGGTGCAGCGAAAGGAGGGACTGTGGACTTGGAGATCTTTGCTCTGCCAAATGTGGAGATCAGCAAAGGTATTGGATGTTTCTGGAATGGGAATGAGTAATGTACTGCATGTGCTTGTGCTCATTTTAATGAGATCAGGACACCTGGGTTAATACAGGGGCTCTGGTATGTAGGCCATCTTTTTAAAATTACGTTGTTACCTTTTCATTGCTGTTTGCTTTCCTTCATCTTTTCAGGATAAAAATGGGAATGGAAGGTTCAGTAAAGCTTGCATCGCTTTCATTTCCAGATTTTTTCATTAATTTTATAGAGGTAGAGGTGTGTGAGTCTGTACTTCCAGGGTAAGAGGCTAATGCTGAAATTGGACTTGTGCAGAAATATAGAGAGGCCAAGCTAGTACTTCAGTGTCATAGGAGGAGAGAGGGAAGGAAGGGAGGAAAAATATACATGTATGTTAAGGGATTAGAGATAGCTCTGAGAGCAGTGTTAAAAAGGCTGATAGATAAAGGTAAGTTTCACAGTGCTGCTTGCGTAGATTGATGTTCATTAAACATGCACATGGTCAGTAGTTAGTTCTTAATCATTATCACTGCGTATTCAAACAATTAGTTCTTACCAATCTTGTCCTCAGTTAGCTGCGAGTGTGCAATTCAAGAGTCAATGCCATTTCTTCGTAATTAGTGATGATGGCTACTGTCCTTGATGGTCTTAATCGCAGAGGGTGATGCAGCACAAAAGCTCTTCCACAGGAGAAGCTGGAACTGAATTGAGCGACTTCCCCATTCTTGCCTGCTTGTGTGTCATGTTTTTATGTTCCTTGTGCCCTCTGCAAGAAGATACGAGGGGGCTTTCTTGTGCTTCTGATGTAATCTATTTTATTTTGGGGACAGGGACTTGTTCTGGTTCCACCAGGTGTCTTACCTGCTTATTTTGCACCTGCCATTCCCTGCTCTATGTCCTTTGATCTTATCTTGCATGTTTTACTGCTAGCACATTTTTTCCTGAACCCTGCTTGTGCAACTGCGGTACAAATCTCTGTTTCTGCCTTTGTGGTTACCCATTATATATTTACATTTAGCTGTGGTACAAAAACCTGGTATGTTGTTGCTGGCTATGCTATCAGTAGTATTACAGAATGCTTCTAACACTGTCATCTGTTATTTTAATATGCTTGTGTCTAGGTTGGGGAAAGCTGGTATCAATTATATCCTGCTTAGTATGCTTCCAGTTTGTCAGTGCAGTAGGCCTCTGTTTTGGCTTCAGCTGGTTCCAGAAGTGCTGTGACAATCAAGTTACCTTGTTTCTGGGTCCAAGCTGATCACCTGTGTGGTACTCAGATATTCAGAGTTACCTGCTCAAGGGAGCTTTGACTTAGGAATTTCTGCAGCAAATGTGGTTGTATGTTTTATTGGGCTAATGAATACATGTCCTTTACTTGAGTTAATAAATAGGCTTTCGGAGCACTTTTTATGGTTGTTGACACGTCCTTAATTGAGCTATAAGATCAAAAATTATAGAAGCCTCAGATAAAGGAGTAAAAGTCTTTCCCTTTCTTTCAACATTGGAACAAAAATGAAGGGGCCTTTTCATGGATATTTGTGTTCGTTTTTTTTTTTCCTTACTTGCCAAGAAAACTTGGAAAAAACTTACCTGTCAACCACATCTAGATGTTTTCTGGCCTCTGCTCTACAACCTTGGACAAATTGCAGTCTGCCTTCCATGCTTGCCAACTATGAAATGGGAAAGTAGTTCTGTGGGAGAGCTGTGTTTTAGAGGTGCTGTGGAAGTGCCCCAAATTCCACACTGGGGGATATGGGGGGAGACAGGAGGCGAAGAATCTATAAGCAGGCTGGATGCTGCAGTTCAGCCTTTAGGATGGCTCTTTGTTTTGCATCCAACACTCAACAGAATTACATAAATTTTAGGCATATATTTTTCTTTATATTTTCAGATTTTTCTGCTTCAGCTGATTCAAAGGTTGTAGTACTTACAGTTAATTCTCTGGGTAATGCTCAGACATATCTTGATGTCATACAAAGCAATGTGGATTTGTTCAGAGGAATTATCCCAGCAATATCACACTACAGTCAGAACACTGTTCTCCTCGTTGCTTCTCATCCAGGTATGTTGGTACTTCACCTAATGTTCTGTCCCTCAGCTGACTATCCCTTTGGCCTGTTGTAAAACTAAACTGCTGAATACACTCACTTAGTTGAAAATTGTTGCTACTCTGAAAGATGTTTTCCTTTTCAGCTTTGAGCAGGACACTGTCTTTGAGGGTTTTTTCTTTACTGTTACCAAGATAAAAGAAAATAGTATACTTTGTTTTGTATAAAAGGTATGTATTTCTATATGTTTCTGTACATAGTTTCAACCTGACTGTATCTACAAGATTAGCATCCATTGGCTGTTGTCTTGTCAGTTGTGAGTTTTGTATGTATATGTTTCTCCTGTGTAGTAAGGATAGATGCATGTGTGCTATGTGCCAGATGATCAGACTCACTACTAATACATAACAAAGCATTGATAGTAAATATTGCAGATGTGTTTTGGTGGAAAGTTTAAATCTGTTGGGTCAGTGATGCTGTGAACGAAGACAAAGCAAAAACAGTACTTAAAAGGGAAAGAACTAAGTGTGCATCTCCCTGTCCTGTGAGCACAATGAAGACAGCCCTGGCCTATTTCTCAGGGGCTTCTTGCCCTTCTAATCATTTAGAGCTGTGGAGATGGAGAAGAGAGTGCTTGCCAAATGAAAATAAATTATACACTGGCTGAATTAAATTTAGAAGCATGTGAGATTTTTGGTGGAGGGAAGCATGGTGACTCATTCTGCAGGTTTACTTGGCTTCTCTTAAAACTTTACTTGGGCTGTGAATTTTCTTCACCTTCTCCCCATCTGACTTGGTGTCTTAGGTTGAAATAAACTACTGATACGTTCTTACATGCTTATACCTTTTCTGAAGTAAACAACATGGTCCTGATTTTTTTGTGATTGTGATTTATAGTTCGCAGTTGTGTTGAATTTTGGGCAGTCCTTCATTGTCAACATATTTTCCTTTCACATCTAGTTGAAGTAATGACCTATGTGTCATGGAAGCTGAGCGCATTTCCCAAAAGCAGAGTTATTGGAGTAGGTGCCAACCTAGATACTGAGAGATTTCAGTATATACTGACAAACCTTCTGAAAGCACAGGTGCTGGCAAAAGATGCTTGGATTATCGGTGAACAAGGGGAAGACAAAGGTAAAGTAATACTTCATTATGATTAGGAGTATATAATGTCCTGGCAGTGCTTAAGTAATTAAGTAGTGAAAGAATAATTGAGAAAAGTAATGAAGGTAGTCATAAGCAAGGTAGTAGACTTTCATAATAATGGTTCTAAATAATACAGTTTTGTTGTGTGCCCAAGACTGTAGACTGTGAAAAAAAAAACCTAGAGAAAACACAGTCTCCAATGCTTTTTACCTGGTATAACAATGTAGTTTAGAGGTACTGAAAGAGGAAGGAAATGTGGTATAGTATACCGTACGCTACTGCTAATGTAAGAATTATTATATACTACTTCATTTTTAAGTAAGTGTCTCTGGCCATGTGCTACTATAGGGTTTATTTCAGCAGTCCAGGGAACCTTAGAAAGTCAACTACATTTGGGTGGTTGTGGGGGAAGGAAAGTTTGGAAAGCTTGAATTTTTTTTTTTTTTTTCTTCTTCTCACCTTATCTGGTACCTATTTTAGTCACTGTTTAGATGTGCATTTAAACATTGATTGTTCCTATCTAGTACCATCATGGACCAATTGTAATTTAGTTGCAAATCAAACAGAAGCAATGGCTGCTCGTAACTCAAGGGAAAAGATGGCTAACAGGTAATCCCATTATAATCTTAAATTTTTTTTCTTCATGTTTAGGCATTCAGTGTTTGCAGGGTTTTTTCCTTCAGCTCTTCATGAAGAGGAGGAAGTTTTCTCTAAAATGTTCAAACATTGAGTTTATAGGAAATTGTAGGTCTGGGTGTTACTGAATCTTATATATGAGTATATGCTCACTGTTTTTCTGAAATTCTTAATAATGCTGTACCTGTGATGATCTAAGGACAAGACAAGCTTTGTAGAATATACATTAGAACATTAGAGCTGTGAGTTATATTGTGTGGCTTTTTTTAAAAGTAGACAAGCTTTCTGGCACACTTTTCTCAGAGTTTGTGTAGAAGAAGTTTATTTCAAAGCAAAGTACACATTTGGATCAATTTACCTGATTTAGCCACACATCAGTTACACCTCTGACAGAAAAGAGTTGTTACTAGTGGGGGTAAAATGTACATAAATTCTTTAAAGCAATTCTTAATTCCCTTCTGTTGTTTTCCAGAACAGAGAATCATGTTTTTATAATTCTTTTCCTTACATTGTACACTTAATCTGTCTTTTGCGTTTTACATATAAACCAAAATAGGAATAATTAAAATCTAAGCATCGTGTTTTTCTCCTTTTCCTGGTTTATATAGAGCTTTGGAAGTTCTAAAGGGAAAAGGTCAGAGATCTTGGTCTGTTGGGCTCTCAGTTGCTGATTTGACTGACAGTATACTGAAAGATAAAAGAAAAGTGCATTCTGTATCCACTTTGGCAAAGGTAAATGTGTTATTAATATCTTTTGGCACTGTAATTTTATTATTTATACTGGATATGACCATTCATTTTAGTAGCACACACATCTCACTTAAAATTACTGTTCTGAAGCAGCACTACTTTGGTTACATTCTTCCAACAGCTTTCAATTCTAGTCCAAAAATGAGCAAAAATCAATTACTGTGTTATTCTGAAACCAATATTAGAAGTGGATTATTCTCCCCAAAAGACAGAAGTTCAGAGGGAAAATACATTCAAGGTTGATGACCAGCTCCCCTGGAATAGGTGAATGTGGCAAATTAAGAGAAATGTGTGTTGCAGTTTCAAAGTGCTCAGAATTGAATGTAGATTTTTCCAGGGGCCAGAATTGCTCAGTATCTTTTTATCAAAGTATAAAATGCTTTTTCTGCCAGCATTTTATTTGACCAGCTTTGAAACAGCTGCTTTTTTACTCTGTGGTACTTTACATTGAGAAGTTTATGAAGCTGTATTTAACTTAAAATTGTAGACTGAACCTCATTTAAAGTTTATCCTAAGAGACTTCATTAAAGCATTAATAAATCATATGAGGAAAAAACTCATGGAGAAACATTTACTTGACATGTCCATCTATTTACAAGCTTCAGAAGGGTGATTTGCATATCTCAGTGCAGGGCAACAGAGCAGGGTGCTTAGTATATCAAGTACAGACATGTACCTAATTTCATCATTATGTTTTCAAGTTTTTAATTATTACGACCTAAATGCAGATATAGAGGAGTGACAAGTCTCTTAAATTGCTGAGTAACTACACAAAGTAAAATTTCCCGTACAAGTCCTAAAAATAAACAAAATGTACAGTGTAAACTTCAATTACAGAAATAAAAGTTTAATGAAGTCTCTCACAGAATGAATATGGGATCAATACTTGAAAAATGTTCCCCAGATAGCTCTCTTTGGCTGCATCTTTTAATTTCTTTATTTCAGTCCTAAAAGAAGTAGTGATACTGTAATATCACGTGTCCCTGCTTGTTCTACTTAAGAAACTGGTTAAATGGTGTTTTGTAGTATAAACTTTGCCTGTGTAATAAAGGTCTGATGTACCTGTATTGGAAACTCCTCCAAGTGTAGCACGGTTCAAGATTTTTTTCTGAACAGTAATACTTTATAGTTTCATTAAAGTAATCAAATTATTTTGTGTAGTTCTTTGCTCTGTCTGAAGCCTAAGTAACTGTATGACTGTTCTTTGCATGTTGTTTCAGGGATGTTGCAATATAAACAGTGAAGTATTCTTAAGTCTACCATGTATTCTTGGAACCAATGGAGTGATTGAAATGGTCAAGCTAGAAGAAGATCCACTAGTGCAAGAGAAACTGCAGAGCAGTGCAGGATCAATTAATGACCTTCAGCAGCAACTGAAACTGTAAGCAAACACTAGGAGAGCTCCAGTGTCTGCTCACAAAAGACAGAGATTTGCTAGGCAGAAAGGGTTGCTTGGTATATATGAATTTCTATATAAAACAAGAAGTTTTTTTACTTTACTTTCAAAAAGTGCTTTCTCAGTTTTGGTTTAAATTATTTAATACTGCACAGTAATTTCTTGTTTGAAAAGTGCACTTTTGGTAGCCAAATCAGGAGGGTAATGTGCAAAACCTTTTTATCTAAATTCAGGTGACTTTTGCCTGTGGTTTTTTTTTTGTTGCTAATTATAAAGTGATTCTTGTGTTATTCTGAGCTCTTGGCACCTCACTGGGACACAGTCCAGGAGAGCGGCTTACCCAGCTCTGTAGAAACTCCAGTGTGCAGAGCCCATTAGAGCTTTATCTCCTGGTTTTTAAGTGCTGCATCTGGGGCTTGCTTAGAATATGGTCACACTCTGGCTCTTCAGGGCACCAGGGGATGCGGTTTGGTAATTTGATCTTTTGTACCTATCACTGCTGCTTTTATGTCAGTAGACTCCTGCTTATTACTAAGGGGAAAAACGCTAAAGGCATGACATTAGCAATATCCTTCAAACCTGAAGGTTCTGTTGTATGTTTAATGATGTCTGAGACTTTCTGGTCATGACTTGTTCGCTCTCACTTTGTAAGGATATCCAGAGCGCTAAAGCACCTGCAGTTCTCAGTACACACATGCAGCACTCTTCACCTGTTCAGTGCTGCACAGGGTCTCTTCCCGAAAGGGAAGAGCAGGGGGTGAGCTTCAAATAAAGAATAAAATCTGACAGTTAAGTAATGCAGAAGTATCTGTGAGTTCAGGCCTTGATTTAAAACCAGCTGATGTCATTGTGTGACATCAGCCTGAGGAGAACACAGCTACTTGAAGGCAACGGCACCTGTAACTTGCCTCAGGGGTGGCCAAGGATGTGGTGAAAAAGCAGGATGTGGATTTTTAGATAAATCCAAAAAGCAGATTTTTTTTTTTTCTAAGATAAAAGAGGTTTTAGGTTCTAACCTCTAGATTCACTGCACTGGTGTAAAAGACTGTATTAATCCTGATTATACCTCAGCACCAGAATTCAGGCAGAAGAGACGTGGGCTGCACTCCTGCTGTGTGCGTGTAAGAGTGTCAGTCCACGCTTATGTCTTGAAGTGTGACTGGTTAGAGATTGATGAAGCTTTCTAAGCGGAAGTAGGATCTGTGTCAGCGAAAAATTTATTCCTTTGTGCCTTCTGGTTTTGTCTCGCAAAGAGCTAGACTTGCAAGGAATTCTGAGTTTATATTGATCTCATAATTAAGGTAAAAATACAAAGGAATAAAACCTTCAATAAATCAGGCTTTTCTTTCTTTTGTGGCGGTAAGTGATAGGACAAAATTAGTGATGACTGCAGGTGACCAACTTTGCTGCTATATTGAAAAAAAGCACCCAACACAATGACTGGACTTGGGGGTTTGTTTTTTTTTCCTCTCTCTTTGGAAAAAAACAGTGTAAAATTACTGTTTTACATGGTTCTTCAGGGTGTTGTGTTCAATCCGTTGAGCATTTATTCTCTTGAATAGTCAAAGTGGTTTATTTTGGGCTTTTTATTAATAGTTTTTATAGTGCCACTTCTCTCAGGGGTGTTTTTTAGGTTGATGCTTCTGCTCTGCGCTCATCATCCTCACATTTGTGTCATACTCCTTGAAAAATAACCAAAGGCCCGCAGCTGCGTGGGTGGACGGGCTGGGAAACAGCACTTTACGATTTTCACGGGAACGCGATTCCCAGAACTGCTTTTCCACAATAAAGCGCACTACGAACCCCTTTTTCGGCCGTTCTGAGATATTTTTGATACCCAAAAGCGCGGGTGGCGCGCGCGGGCGGGCTGCAGGCCCTCCCCGGAAGTGCCGTCACGGCCGGGCGGAAGCGGGGTGTCGCTGCTTCCTGTCTGTTGCCGGAGGGGTGGGGAGGGGCGGCGGAGGGGCCGGCCGCCATGGCGGTCTCGGAGAGCCAGCTCAAGAAAATGCTCGCCAAGGTAACGGCGCGGCCGAGGGCAGCGGGAGCCCCTTCCCCTCCCCGGGGGCGTCGGGCGGGGCGGCGCCGCCGCGGCCCTACCCGCGGCCTGGTGCGGGGCTCCCGGCTTGGGCCCGGGGCGGAGCGTAGCGGGGGCCCCGCGTCTACCTCAGCGCCGGCGCTGTGCCCCGGGGGCGCCGGGCTCCCCGATCCCTCCTGACGGGCCTGCGGCTTTGTCCCGGGCCGGCGGCCGGCGGGGACGGAGCGCCGGGACGGTCTGTCCAGGCCGGGCGGAGCAGCGGTGCAAGGGCTGTGTCCGGCCCTCGGGAGGCTGTAAATTGAGTTGGTTGGTAAAGGGAAATAGGGTGCACCAAAACCTGAAATACGTGGCTGTTTGTAGTCCTGCGGAAGTTTAGTTTTGGGCTAGGACATCGCCAGTTAAAGCCGAATAGAAACCATTTGCCTGGCTGAGGCTGTGGTGCGTCAGTGGCGATGTGGGTGCTTGGGTCGTGTGGCATTGTTTGCATCCATTGGTTAAGTGAAGGTGGAAGGCAAGTTCGTTGGCTAGGATGAGGGTGGGGGGTTTATCACCTTTGTTTAAGGAAACAAGAAAACCTTGGAAGGTGAATCATTAACAACTGAATCATACAGAGCCACGTGCAGTTGTGCCACTCTTAAGGTGAAAACAGCTTTGTCCGGCAGCTTGAAATGAAAACTGCTAAGGCTGAATATTTAGGACAAGTTCTGGTTTGGTTTGAGGGGATGTTTTTAACAATACTGAATAGCCATATTTGCACAATTTTAAAATTAAATACAACAGGTGAAGATCTGATGAAAACTGAAGAAACCTTATTAAAGGATCTTTCACCTGCATGGAATCATAAGCAAATTTTTTTATCAGCTGGAAAATCAGGGTTGAATGCTAACTTGCTGTCAGCAAACAAGATCACGTATATATTTGCATACACCTGTCTTCCGTAAATGAATTATTGCCATGCCACACAACAAAGAGCATTTAAGGCAGTTCCCTGTCCTCTTTCCCCCACATTCACCTATATTATACCCTCATCTGACTTTGTGTAGGTAAGCTCAAGGTGCAGTGTACCTAATAGTTGATGAAAAATGAAGTTACCGTTTTGTGACTGTTTTTCAAAAATCGTTACACTTTCTGATCTGTAGAGGGAAGCTTAGTGGTATTTCCCATATTGAATAGTTCAGTGTGTGAGACAACAGAAGACCTAAGCCATTGTTTGGTTGAACATGATACTTTATTTAACTTCAGGTATTTACCTGCTGTCTGGTCTAGAAGAGCATCTCTCCGTGATCTGTTTCCTGGTATCTCAAATGAAGAGGATGTATTTACCTTTCAAGAATGGAGGAGGAAAAAAAAAGCTTAGAAATTAGGAATTCAGATTAATCTGTTTTAGTTACCTTTGTAGATATCACTAGGACCTTATATTTTAGAAATAGATTTTGACATTTCTTGGAAATGCTCAACTACTTACTATATGAACACAGGAAAAGATTGTCTTGTGATATTCTAGCACTCCTTAAAGTGGAAAGAGAAATAAGCACAAAAGAGCATACTTTGTACTTTAAATAAAAAAAAAAAAAAAAGCTAGAAAAGCCATCATTCTCATTAGGAAAAACTTCATATGTCATTTTAATTTACAGAACTTTGATCTTCTATAACTATCTGGATCAAAGTACTGAAATTAATAGCGGATGTAGCATTTAATTTTGCTTGTGGAAGTAGCTGGGATCTTAAAAGCTTATCTCTACGAAGTAATTATCACCCAGTGTAAAAACTATTTGCAGGAATACTTTTTCTTAGTTTTAAGGGACATATCAAAATATTTTTTTAATTTTAAGGTCTTGTGCCTACTTTTTAAAAGCACCTCGGATAACCAAATCTGGGTTTTATCAGCCCTATCAACCCCCATGTACCAGAGTCCCAGTATGTCTGCTGAGCAGGCATGTGCTTTTTCTCCTGCTTGACTAAATGAATTTGAGACACTCATGCCAAAAGTGGAGTAAAATGCTGACTCTGAATCCTTGTGCTTGTTAGGAGCTTCTGTTAGTGGAAGCCAATTATTTTTCTAGTAGTGATTATGCCAGTCTTCTTGAGCCTATATCCTGCACCATAAGGTACATTCCTGTAAAAAGACCCCCTCTTTTTACAGTAGCTAGTGACACGCTCTCATTCGTACTGTAGTAACGTGTTCAGTGATGTGGGTATGTGCTGCCAGTCTCTGTCTGGCCTAGCCCAAATTTCACAGACTTCTGTCTCCATGTTCTAGCAATGCCTGTTACCTATTTCTCACTTCTGCTAGGCGTTGGGGAAGGAGGGAGGGGTGTAATGCTAGCAATGCTGTCTCTCCTCTGTCATGCCCCTCCCGCCCGCTCCGGACCCTGCACCTGCTTTCTGGAGGAGGCTGAGGTGCTTTGCTGCTGCCCCCCTGCACACGCAGGCATCCCTGCCGGAGGGGCTGCTGGCGTTCCCACAGGCGAGCAGCGTTTTGCAGACTGACCGTATGGCTGTTTTGGCCTTGGTTGTTTCAGGAAGATGAGTCACAGCATCCCCCCCAAGCACAGGTGCTGTTTGTAGACTTGGTGGCTTTATGGGAAGTGGCATGGTGTGTGCATCTTTGCTCGTTAAATAAGTATCATGCCTAGGAGTAGCATCCTTGTCACTCTCTGTAGATAACAGGAAGAAGAGTTAGTTTCTAAGCTTCACAACTCATGAGTGTTTGTCAGAACAAAGGTGACCTTTAGCTGCAGCACCACACTTTGCTCTTGGATAATGTCTGAATTAATTTGTTCAGATGTTAGCATCTGCGTGCTTTGGGTATTGCACATTTCATCGTGTTGGGCCCTTTGTCTTCTACCATGGTTGAATGAAATGATGCTGTATGTTTCTGTTCTTTAAGACACCTGAAGATTGTAATTTAAAAAAAATAAAGTTATTACAATGAAAACATTGTCAAGGGACTACATTGTTAGCTTTTCTTTTTAATGGTAGTTATCAAGAGGAATGGCCACAAGGTTAAAAGCTGTGCCACGTGGTAAACCAGCTCTGTGTTGCCCAGAAGCATCTCCTTTGTTGTCTGTGGATTATAGTTCTGAGACTGCTAAATTTACAGATCTTCTGCACTGTGCATTATTCCCTGCTCCTGATAAAGGGAAGGGGGTGAAACCAGTACTATTACTGATAATACCGTGCCTTGAAACGTCTGCTTTCTACTTGATAAAATACATGAAAGTACTGATCAGTGATTGACAAATACTGTGATGCTTTGAAAAGTACTATGAAAGATAGCTATGAGATTCAAATCCTAGATAGCTGTGTGTCAGCAGTGCTCAAAACATCACTATATTTGTTCAAATGCAGGGCTTTTTTTAAGATTCTCATATATCTCTCAGATATTGTTGGTTATGGTAGAACGTGAATGAAAATGCAGTAGCTTTCCCCAGATCCCTTGACATATGGACCCTTATTTAAGACTAAAAGCATCTTAACACCTTGTTAAAGTTCAGTAAGTTATATAGACAGTGTTCGGTTAAGTAATATAGAGAAAGAAGTTCTCGTTCCAGAATAAGAGTGGAGAACAATGTCTATACGTCCATGTAAACTCACAGATGCAATCTATTGGGTAAAATAAAACAAAATTAAACTACACTGAAAATTTGGTCTGTAAAGTCATTTTTTCTCTTTTGTTTTCCAGTATAAGTATAGAGACCTAACTGTACAGGAGACAACCAGTGTTATTACACAGTACAAGGACCTCAAACCTGTCATGGATTCATATGGTTAGTCTGCGCACAAGAAAGCTTTTGCTATTGAATTGTTGATGGTTTAGATATATTTGGTAGTTTATGTGGGGAAAAAGGAGATTAACACTAGAAAACTTAATTTTTTGAGTTTCTCTTCTTGATCTTTGACATCATTACTTCCTTAGAAACACAGTTATTTTCTAAAACAACCTTTCTGTATTACTGACTGTCTGACATGCCAAGAAGTGTTGCATTTTTCACAGCTTAACTTTTAGTTACCTGCTCAGTGAGGTCATATCAGTTGATGTCCTGAGATTGCTGGTATCTTACAAATTCAGCTTTGCTGTCATGTAAAGATTTTTTTAGGGTTCTATTTAGAAAGAACTGTTAATCAATGAACAAATGCTTCATTAAAAGTAGTTGTGGCAGTCCTTAAGAGTATGAAGAAAACAATCAGGTATCTAGAAAATTGGTATGAGGGGGTTGTAATGGAAATTAATGGTGACAATCACTGTTTGTTGGCTATTTTAAAGGCTCTGAGTAAATTTGAGTGTGTTAAATGAAGATGATATCTAGGGTCAGCTTCAGAGGCTGAGTGCATGGTTTCACAATGTATAGTGACCCAGTATAGCCGCTGAGGACATCCTCCTTCTGATCACCTTTTTTTTATTGTCACCTGTGGGATTCCTCAGTGAGCTAATTTATATTACTAATACATCACCAGAGATTTTATCGTCTTCTGCTTTCTAAATTCTAAATCTGGATTGAGAAGTATTGAGAAGGAGCATGGACAGGTAAAAGATAGATTAGTCTTAATTTGAATAGCTGAAAGCCAGCAGTGGTCTCTGAAATAAAAATTCATGCAGTGACTGGAGAATCAAAAACAATAGTGAAAGGACTGTGGTTGGAATAGCCTACATGAGTTGGCATAATGATAGTGGTCAGAATTCCAGCTGGCTTTGAGCTGTAGCAGGAATCCCATTTGTGTTACCTAATTCTTTCTAAGCAGCCTGGGAAATGGTGAGCACAGAACCACTTACAGCTAATTGGAGTAGTGAAATGAGCAATTGGGATAGTTTTCAAGTTTATGCTAATAATGAAAAATATACCCCCATTTAAGTCCCAGCATGTTCTAGCTGCCTTTGCAGAACATAAGCACCAAAAGAATTGTACACAATAAGCTATGTTTGAAGTATGACTAGCAACTTTCAGGTGAAATTAGGAAAATAAAAGCTTTATTACCAGAAGTTGATTTATTGAGTCAAGAATAATCTATTGGATTGAAAGTATGGGAAAACTAAATACAGAACTCAGGAAATGGAGGTCAGGGCCTCTGTGCAGTTTGTGAACTAAGCCTAAAATTTGGCAGTGAGTATAAATGCTACGCATTTCTTCCTCTTCGGTGTACTATTGTTTGGTTAAATTACCTTTACTGATTCTGTAATAAATATCTATGGCCCGGTAATTTTTGATATTCTTGCTGACCTGTTTGTTTGGAGAAAGCATAAGGAATTCTTTGTAATGCTAAATGACAGTTGAGTTCAGCTTATCTTTGCAACGATTTGTATGATTTGCAGTTTGTATGGTTCCAACATGTTTTACTTGGTCTCTGAATGAGGAAACCAGTTTTATTTGCCATGAAGGTAGTTTGACAATAATTAGTCACTCATTTCTCAGAAATAAGTTATTCATAAGACGTTACCTGATTGTAGACAATCATTTGCTAGTCCATGAATCTGCATGAGCAGAACCTTTCAAGCTGAGTTTATATATGTGTAACTTCTGAAAACATAGGCAAATAAATGTATGGGTTATAACCTGAACAGAGATTAATGTAGCAAATAGGTTTGTCTTAAAAATACTGTTTGTTCCCTTTCAGTTTTTAACGATGGTTCCTCTAGGGAGTTGATGAGCCTCAGTGGAACCATTCCTGTGCCTTACAGAGGTATGCATTTATTATTATTATCATCACCACCGTTATTTTCCCAAAGTACATGAAAAACTATTTAGATCTGTCCTGGTTCAACTTCACTACTTCGGTGACCACTATTTTCTTGAAATACTTTACTTGTCCAGAGCATAATGTTTTAAAGAAATTGTTCACTGTTTTTGCTGCAAAATAAAATTTTAATATTGAGCAGTGCTGCTTCAGTCTTGTACAGGTCTGTAACATCTCTTCTCTTTCAGTACTGTATGTTTTTCAAGCGTCTCAAATGAGTGAGGGTTGCAAACCATTTATTGCTGTGCTAACGATAATTCAGATTAGGGTCTAATAATGCTGCATTGTAGAGCAAATGAGATAATGTATTAGTAGTAAATGATAATTGTAAATCAAAGTTAAATTGTTCTGAAAAATGTTGTTTGTGGCTATATTGTAAGATCTTGTTTGAATGTTATTAGTGGACTTTGACTTCTGATTCTATGTAGTTGAATTTACTGGGGTTAGGAGTTTTTTGTAAATCTATATACAAGAGGATAGTTGAAGAGTTGGAATAACTTTTAAAATCTTTCAAAATATCTTTTCTAGGTAACACATACAATATCCCAATTTGCCTGTGGCTGTTGGACACCTACCCTTTCAACCCCCCAATTTGTTTTGTTAAACCCACTAGCTCTATGACAATAAAAACTGGGAAGCATGTTGATGCAAATGGAAAGATATATCTTCCTTATCTGCATGAGTGGAAATATGTAAGTATAGGGAACTTGAAATTCTCAAATTCCTCAGGTCTGAATTCTTTTAGATAGTTGTATCATTCTTAACAAAAACTATAATCTTTATTTGATATCTTAAATAATTTTTGTTAAATTAAAACAACTGTGTGGATTGTAGAACTAAGAACATTTGGAAATAGGATATGTAATCTGGTGCTGCATTTGTGATGCTTGTCCTTATTTTGGTAAAATGAAATCATGGCTATATTAAATGTAGTTATAAACCAAGAAGCATGGTTTTGCTATATTTAAAGGAGGTTTGTGCCACTCCTTAGTGGGTTAGAATATTTTGTCTGTTGAGCCATTCTGAACCTGGGCAAAAGCTGTATGCTTTATGAAATTGAAATCTTTGAAAACTCAGTGATCAGTACTTTATGTTGGAGAGTGGATTTAAGTTTTAAAAAAATTAATTGTAATCCATCACTGCACAGTCATCTTCAGTGATTTATTGCCCTGCAGTTGATACAGAACAATGTATTACCCAGTTTATTCTGAGTGTAAATGCTACTGCAGCTGTATTTTGCTATACCGTTTTGAATACCAGCTGACTGGATTTGGTATCTAAAGGAATCCACGAAGGAAGTTAAATATGCACCTTTTTTTTTTTTTTTTTTTTTTTTTTTCAATTACAACATATATATTTTTAAAAAATTAAGTCCCCACAAATAAAAGGGTGGCTTTTGTGAGCTGATGGAATGTTATAATTTTGTTATTATAGTCAGTTAAACTGTCTGTTAGCAAGATCAACCACTTGTGATTTGCTTACCCTCCCAGCCCCAGTCAGACTTGCTAGAACTGATTCAGGTCATGATCGTTGTGTTTGGTGAGGAACCTCCAGTCTTTTCTCGGCCTACGGCTTCGTCAAGCTACCCACCATACCAGGCCACAGGCCCACCAACTAGTAAGTGGTCATGACTACTGATATTAATGCTCCAAAGTGATTGTTGCTCTGCATAGCTTATCAACAACTGATGTATACTACTCAAGAATGACTTTCTATATCAGTGGCTAATGATTTCACCTGTGTTGTACTTGGCCTTTTTGAACTATGTTGAAAGAATGTGTGTGGTGTTTTGGCTTTTGGAAGGAAGGGAAAAATCAAGTTTGTATTTAAAAACAAAACACAAACACCTCCCAAGTCCCTCAAAACAGCGAGTAACCTGTCAACATTCAGAACTATCCTTAAAAAGAGATTATTCAGATAACTGTCTTAAATTTTTTTTATTCTAATAATACAAGTCCATCTGTTAAGTTTCCTGCAACCATTGATTTCGTAAGCGTAAGCATACTGCTTGTGTTCCCTGTGCTCACACTCTTTTTTTATTGCTGGCTGAATATGAAAAAACCCACCTTGTGATTTTTCATTCTTCTCTGTTGATTTGGTGCTGTGACTTGGTACCCATTCTTATTTTCTTGCAAAAATTCTCAAGACTTTAAAAATTTTTATTTATTTAAACTTCTGGAGGCATCTTACTTTAAAGACTGGGGATACGTGAGTGGGGGAAATGAAGGAAGTGGGAAACTGTAAGTCCTAGAAATTCTTCCAGGGGGAGACTTCATTGTGTGGAAAAAAAACCCCAAAACAGTAGAGTAGACCTACTCAAGCCAAAGACTGGGGCAGGAGGGGAGTGGGGAGCAGATTAGCTGCAGATTGTTTAATGGTGTTATAATGGTTCTACATTAGTTTAATGGTAGAATATTTTGGGGTTATATATTTTTGCTGTATTTGAGGTTATATATTTCTGCTGTATTTTTAAGGCTATGTCTGTTTTTTGTTGTAATACTGCTTTTTTCAGAACATGGTGTTACAGCTGAGAAGCTGAAGGACTATTCATTACAGTTTTCAGTGCAAAGCATTTTTAACAGGGTCTTAGATTCTTAACATGTGAGGAAAGGTCTAGCAATCATTAATGGGAACACTAGGCATAGCTGGCTAAAGGTAAGTGTGTGGGACTTGGAGTGTCCAGTTCTAGCTCCCTAGGAGCACTAGATCATTCCACTGTTCTGATTTTCCAAGAACAGTGGGTGTCAGTACAAGTATAGTTTTAGTAGAGACTGTGTCTTGTATTGCTTTAGGGAAAGACCATTGATTAAAACACACTTGATTACTTTTGTAGTTACTCAGGGCTAGCATAGCTGAAGTAAATTTAGTGGAAATGTTTCAGGATTTTCACATTGTTAATAGCTCCTTAGTTTTACCAATGTAAACGGCTTTTCCTAATTTTACAGATGTTTAAATTTGTTTGGTTTTTTTTTTTTTTTTTTTTTTAATTCTAGATACTGTTTAAGAAGAAATTCAGCTTTTTTAAAAAAATTGAATCATTTGAAAGCATTCAAAGACGAAAATAGCTTATCTCTTTTCAAAAGAAAAAAAAGCTGTTTGGTGTAATATTCCTGTAATTACTAGAAACATGGAATAAATATATTCAAACTATAATTTTTATAATAAAATTGTCAGATTTCCAAGATGAAACTTAAAAGTGCTAAAAGACTGTTAAAGCCTTAGACATTTCTACGTGCTGATAAAAGATTTTAAAATATAACTTCTAAATAGGAGAAATTACTGGATAAGAACATGGTTGGATTGTTAAATATCTGTCAACTGTTGTGAAGTCTAGCTACTCTGAAGGTACTTAAGTTATACACTTACTATTTAGTGAGGAGAGAACAATTGATACATTGGAAAGGTTATTCTCTTTTTTGAGCTATTGTATAAAAAAAATGGAGACACCTCTTCAGGTGTGTCATCTGTAACAACACTGCATTTTTTTCTGAGTTCCCTAGCTGCAGATACTTTTTCTTGTGTATCCACATTTTACTTAGTACAACTACTCGTCATGAATTTTAAATTGATATCCATTTTTATCCATGCAGTGGTTAGTTTAAAGTAATGATCAAGAAAAATTATGCAGTGAAAGGTGTTGTAGCTAGGTGTTCTAAGGAATGTATAATTGACTTCAATTACAGTTCTCATACTCTCCCTCCAAACAAAATACTCTTGAAAATGCTTTAACATCAGTTGGTAGGTAGAGGTAGAATCTTCAGAAATGCAAAATTTGCCTGCGTTTTGTGAAAATGGGGTTGGATACAGAAAGGAAATTCTACCTGGTTAGTACATGGAGGGAAGGTCTCCTGCAGTTTAGTCCTTTCTGTGTTTTGGGGGGAAGCAGCTGCCTTGGTCCGTTGGCACGGAGATTCCTCAGAGCCGCCCTCGGCCCGTGTCCCCGGCCAGGCTGCACACCAGCAGCGTGGGAGCTGCGTGAAGCGGTGGCGTTAGAGGTGCAGGGTACATGATTGGGGGGGGGGGGGTGGGGGTGGCCACAGAATGACTTCTCTTGTTGTTTCATTGTGTTACACTGTATTCATTGTTCAGTGGTATTTTGAAAAGCATCTTGCTGCAGCTTAATAATATATATGTAATCTTAATGCATATTAAACTTCTGAAAAGTAAAATATACAAAATCATTATTTTATTTAGCTTCCTATGTGCCAGGCATTCCAGGTGGAATATCTACTTATCCAGCAGGAAGCACTCCAAACCCAAGGTAAAAACCCCTTTAAACCATCATCATTTACATAATAGACAGCTTCACTGAACAGTATCTAGTTCTAGCTCTATTTTCTTACAGTATATTTGTTGTATAATTACCCTGTTAGCAGTTTTCTTTAAAAGTGAGGACTGAATTCTTGTCAATAGCCAAAAGAAAGTGTGAGAGAGGTTTAAATTTCTTAGTGTTGCTTGCTTCAAATACAATATACTTAAGTGATAAATATATTTTGAAAAATGATTACTTAACTCTCAGATGTTATCTTCCTTCACCCGTGTATTGGATTAGTTTTTTATTAGCATTGTTCGTATTGTTTGGGGTAATTAGGAACTCAAAACCTTGAGTCAAACATAAGTGTGGACTTAGGTCAGAGCAGTCTAAGAGAATTTGAAGGGTACAAAATAATTTTTAAAGTTTTTTATTAATATAAAACAATACTTTAAAGTATATTATATAATAGTTTGGAATAAAGTTTTCCAGAAAACTTGCAGTTCTGTCCTAGCAAATAGTAAGATGCTGATGGCTGCCTCCTAGTGTGTACATACATTTTTTTGTATCATAATCAATTCTTTTTATTATTAATGTCCTGATTTTGTGTTAGGAGCATACAGGGAGTTGCTGTAGTGTATAACATTTTGATTTAAAAAAAAAAAAATCACTAGGAAGGTGAGGGTGTTATGTTTTAAGAAGTGAAAAATGGGGATTTTTGTAAATTCTTGTGGCAGGTTTTTTCCTCCTAAATACATTTATTTAAAGTGCTCTTAATGTTTGTACAAAAATGAATAATAGAAGAACTGGTTTTAAAATAATGTAATTTATGAATGAACAGAAAGGTTGTAAGAACTATTAAATCTGTAATTATCTGCAAAGTCACAGAATATGCTTATTTTACATGTTTTCTTGGACCATTTTGTTTACTTATAGCCATGATTAATATTCTGCTCTGTGCGGGTGTTTGTCAGTCTAGTACTGACTAATTTGAGTTCTTGTTTCAATTGATAGTAAATGTATTCAGAAAGGTATTGTACACTGTCGTGTTATATGTCATCTTGCAGTTGTTTCAGTGAATAAATGAATACTTCTGTTTTCCTTCATCCTTCAGAGCAGGGCTAAGAATTTCTGGAGGAGTTTCATCTTGTAACCATATGTTGCACAACATTTTTAGGTTTATGTAAGCAGTTCAGTAGTCCTTATCTTAACTATTGTCGTATTGCTGTTTATGAGTTTGTAGGTAGAATAATTTCGATACTTTTGGGATATCATATGGCAAGATTAAGAGATTGAAGAGCATTTGGAATGATCAAAATGCTTGACCAGGCAATAACTATAGATAGGGTTGCAAATAAAATGGTATTTTCTTAAACTATACCAGAAATATAAATTACAAAAGACGTTAATGTGAACAGGAAATGAAAAAAAAGTATAACTTGGCCTGCAATTCAAACATTTTATTATGTAAACAAACGTTTAACATGGTGACATAAAGATAATATACATGGATAATATTTTACAGATAGTTACATAACATTAGCATGTCTTTCTTTGTCAAAGCAGCTACCCAAACTATCCTTACCCAGGTGGTGTTCCATTTCCAGCAACCACTAGTGTTCAGTACTACCCTTCTCAGCCTCCTGTGACTACTGTTGGTGAGTAGCTTTGGAAGGATTGCTCTGAAGTGAAACTTCCCTCTATAACTGATACATAAAGAAAGAAAATGGAAAAAGGAATGTATTGTTCTTAATCTGACCTTCCAAAGTACTGATCTTCAATTTTAAAAGTTAATCAGAGGAAGAATAAAATAGATTTTATGTCTTTTGCCTTTTATTCAGTCAGGAACTTGATAAATTCCTGGTTTTGTGCAATGCACTGTGTGTGCTCTATGAATATTTTGAAGAACACTGCATGTTACTACCTTAAGTTTTTTTCTCCCCTTTAACTGGATGTGACTTTTGTCTGTGTTATGGTCATGGTTTCTAAAAATGCTTTTGTCGTCATTTAATCATCTACTGGACTCACGTTATTTGCTCTTTATACTTCCTTTATTCCAAAAGTCATAGCTATCTAAAGCAGAGGTTTCCAAAGCGTTTGGAATGAGCTTCGTTTTTACCAAGTTTCTTCTCCAGCCACTTCACTGTTCTTTATGGTCCCTACTTATTACTTCTTTCCCTTCAGCAGCAAGATGTAGGGTATTAATGTGTATCTTTTCCTAGTCTACTGCTCTGTGGCCCTTTGCTGGCAAAATACACTAGCTTGGTCTCCACTCTGCACCTTGTTTTTAGTGTTTGTGTAGCAGATTGGGAACTGGAGAAAAAGGCCGTCTAGTTAAGAAGGAAGTTGGTGCAGTAACTTTCCAATTGGATGGTAGTCCTTTTAGAGCAGTTAAATAACTGGGAGTTCACACATTATACACACTCTTCCTTCCACAACTGTGTGTATTTTGAAATTTCCATTCACACACATGGGGACAAAGCAAGTTCACAGCTTGGTAAGGGGAAGATAGATGCTTTTCTGTTGTTATGGAGTTTGGAAATTACGTTGTATTCTTCTTGTGCCTGATCCCATTCGTTCTTTCTGAAAGTTGCTGGCTATTTTTTAGTGGTCAGCTCCTTTCTGAGGTGTTATGTCTCTCCTGGGCACACTGCAGGAAAGCTGCAATCCCACTTAAGTAGCTCAAACAGTAATTGGTGTTAGAGGGCTGTAGTTGAGTCCCTGAGAATTAATAGTCTCCACCGGCTCTCATGTAGGGAGGTGATTAGAACCTTCTTAGGGAACATAGTCTTTCTCAAACAGATCCAGTTTTTCTTTCACATCGTAGAGAGTTAATTTAAAATATAGATGGGTTTTATTTAATTTCTTTCTCTCCGTTTCCTCCCCAGTGAAAATGAGCAGAGGTGGAATATCTGCTAGATATCATAGAAGGCTCGTCAAGTCCTGAGTTAGATCATCTGATACCATGTTGTCAGATTTTGTAGTGACAATTTAACCTTAGACTGATTCATTTGATGCAGCTAGGTAAAAGTCATATGCCTGTTACGCATGGCTTATCTCTTGTGCCAAATGAAATGCAAGCATGTCTCTTTAACCATCCACTGTATTTACAGTACAGCTTGGGGATTTTAACAGTATTTTTTTTTTTTCTTTCAACTGAAAATGTTTATTTCCTATACAGATTGTTACGCTATGGTTTATTGTGATAGTTTATTTAGGAGCATATCAAGTGCTACAACTTTAGAGCTTTGTGTGGGTGGTGCTGGCGTGTTTTTTATAGTGAGCTTAGTTTGAATTGAATGAAAATACTCATTCAGAGTAGCTTAAACTTGTAATAATAGCTGTTTTTTCAAATATAGTCCTTCAGGCTTTTTCTCTCTGTTCAATCATCTGCCATTAATTACCTTTCTGATGCAATTACTAGTTTGATGATTCTGTAAGGTCACTTCTGAAATCAGACTCTGCCTGGTAAAGGTTAAGGGTTTCAGTGCTCTGCAGATTTAGTGGCTATATGCCATAAAGTCTTCCCCAAGCTGGGCTAATTATGGACGTGACAGAAAATGCTAAGGGTTCATGCTCTTTAAGAAGATACATAAAATCTAATTGAGCTGTATTAGAATGATTCTTTTTATGTTCAAAGACCTCTTTCCTATCTGTTGGCATTTCTGTGTGAACTTTAATTGTTAGGTGTATTGTGATTTTATTTTTTTTTCCTCTGTCCTACTTTACTGCTAAAGTGAGTCTTGTATAGAATCTCCCAGAGTGAGGGATATCAGAGGAAGAAAAAAAGTAGAACTGATGGCTGGTTCTGACTTTGTTTTGGGAATAATTCATTATGTAAAGTAAATAGTATCTGAAATCATGCTAATGCTGTTCTTCATGGAGTGAAATCTGACCTTTTTGTTTTCATTTAGAACATGTATATTTACAACTGTCTGCCTTAAACAGGAAGTCCTAAACAGTGAATAAACTCTTTGTCCCAGATAATTTGACTGACTTGGTTTAAGTTTTACTTTTCATTGTAGAAAGTACTGTTCCTTTTCATAAGAAGCAGCAATTCCTGGGTTGGTGTGTATGGTGCCATTTGACAGCTGCTGTTGCTGATTCTAATAGATAGTTAACCAAATAATGAAAATTATCTTGTTGACTGGCAACTGGGTGAATTGCTTCAGTGAGAACTGTAGATCAGATGAAGAGTTGGGACATTCATATTTTCATAAGTCTGTATCTTTACACCAGTTAATTAATAATTCAGTCTCTTTTTTCCAATAGTAATTAGCTTATTTACTTTTTTTTTTAAGTTAATTATGCATCTTCTTATACAATTAGTATGTAAGTAAAATGTTCACATTAGTAATAATCAAAATCTACTGTTTTCTTAATTTTAGAAGAATTTGATGGATTAGTAAGCATGATGTGCCTCTTCCCATGGTTCCTTTCATGTCATTTGCATAGCTTTATTTTTCAAATATTTGGCTTGGTGTAGGTTTTGGGGACAGGAATAGAATAAAAGGCATAGGGAAGGGATATGAATTCATGCAGTCTTGTTCTGTTCGCAGCAGAAGTCCAAAAAATCATCTGGATGTTTTAAGGATTCTGAGGTGTGCAGTCCTGTCAATGACAGTTTGCATTTGTTAGTATAACAATACCAACATACATTCCAAATAGATTTTATTATTATTACTTATTTTTAAATTACGGTGATGATACCCTATCAGAAAGTTGTCATTTTTCCATTCAGATGCTTGTTTCTAAAGGCAGAGTTTAGATTTTTATACTGTGTTCTGGATTGTTGCTGATTATTGTCAAGATATCCAACCTACCCCAAAAACACTGTAATGCTGAAATTTCACTAAACAGCTAACCCTTTTCCTGAATAACTGTAGTAGAATTATTGCAATCTTATTTCTAGCTAATAGTAGTTTATTTACTGAGTACTATAAATGTCAAAAAAAATACATTTATCACTGTTTATCTTAGTGTAATTTACTCTAAAAATACCAATCTTTGAACTACTGTGTTTAAATGGCAAAATTAATGCATGGTTTGAGTTGCTTGTTTGCTTTTTCTTCATTTGAGGGCCTCATTATCAAGAAAGGTAAAGATGTTTATTGGATTTCAGTTGACTCAAGACACTTTTCTGAACCTTTGGGAAGGAAGAACAAAAGATATGCTAATGGCTTGTTCTTTATGTAAGATTCACAGTAGCTTTCACAGGATTTTTCACTTTGCAGTTTTTTGAGATCTAGGGTACTGAGAAATACAATGTACCTAGTGATGTCACAACTTCAGGGTTTTGATAACCCTGTCTCTGGATAAAAAGATACCCTGGTAAGACTTCTTTCTTCAAATTTTCTTTCCAGTTACAGATCTTAAAATCTCTACATTTCGTCTGTAAAAGTTGGAAAGTTTAGGCACAAAACCTGCTATAATTCTTGCTTTATTAGTAGTTGTTATTATCCAATTGAAATTTCACTGATTTAAAATGTGGGAGGCACAAGCATGGGAAAACTGTGACACTCCATTTTTTTCTCATAGAAGAATGGTTGAAGTGGTTTGTGATAAATATGGATATAATTCTGCGACAAGAGGCCACTTCACATTCTCTAGAGCAATCGAGTTTCCTGGTCTACAGATAGACAGCACTTCCTGTGACAGGCATAAAGGATTTACCTTTCTATTTAAAAAGCTGTTAGTGTCAGTCTCTCGAAATTAGGTAATAGCATTGAAAGGCTGGTTTGCAAAAGCAATAGTAATATTCAGGCTTAAATGTGGAAGCCTCCAGCATGCTTCAGAGCTTCAGACAAGTGCTTCAGAGGAAGAGGGACTAATGAAATATATTAGAGAATTTATTTTCTTCTGTTATATTTTCAAGTATTGCTGCACTGAAATGTGATTTAATAAACTGAAATTACAAATTGTAGCTAGCAATCGAAAAAGGTAGTACCCTCAGTTGTTGTAACTCAGTTACATAGCAGCCTCTGGCTGCCTAACTGTAACATCGATGATTTATGGAAGCTAGTTACGTAATACTGGAACAATATTGGTTGGTTGTTTCACTACTACTAAAATCTACCCTGAGTTTCTGGACACAATGGACCAGGTGAAGCTGGCAAATTAGTATACCTACAATCATACTGTCTGTTACCATCTTTGTACTTACACTTACCTAAAATAGCTATGCTCGCTTTTCTTAGAATCAAATTGTATAAGTAATTCTACAGAACCTCTGTATGCTTGACTAATACTCTTTATTCAACTAACATTGAAGTAGTATTTTATCCAGAGAGAATTTTTACATGTTCTTTGTAGGTGCCATTACCTAATTTTATAAACTACACTGCCCCTGACCTCTCTCCCATTACAGTACCATCCTGCAGAAGTTTAAAAAAAATAAATGGTAGGCCCAGTATAACACTGAACATGTACCTGAAAGACAGCTGTCTGATTTTAGACTGCTAGAACATACCTATAAACTGTATGCTAATAAGTTTGATTAGCATTTCTCTGCTTTATAATCTTTTAATAAATGTTGTTTGTTAAAGTAACAATACCTCAATAGCAGATGTTCTGTATTAATGCTGATTGTTTCATTGCCCTCCTGTACCTGCCCTAGGATGGTTGAATGATAACTGTGAAACCAGTTGTGAAAGACTAGATGATATTTTCGCTTTTTAATCACTTGATACTGTTCAGTAATTTGTCACTTAAACAGACCCTGCTATTAGATCTTCATAAATATAAAAGGGTAGCAGTTTAGATATTTTTAATTTAAATTATTTTTGTTAGCTTAGTGTTCATCTGTTTTTATTAATCTTATATAAAAAAAAAAACCACACAATAATTGGCAAGCCTCATGATAGAGTACCTATAAGCAAATTCACTATCTCAAGCCAGCCATTACATTAATTGTGGTTGAGTACATATATCCATTTATTTCCATAGTTTACCAGAAATTTATTCTTCTTTTAAAGTCTCAGACTAACAACATTTGTAGACTTCAGGGGAAATGGCCAGCCCGTTTTTAAATTAAAGGAAGATTGTGCATGTGGGAATAGTAAAGTGAATGAATGGATGCATACTCTTAAATTGACTTGTGTACATCTTAATGTGTTTTATCTCACTGTAATCTCTTCACTGCTTCTGGAAATTACTATGGAAAACAGTTTATTTTATTGTCTCATATTGCTAGAGTACATGCAGCAGGTTAGCCACTTTTTTTTCAAGCTGGCTTTATATGGAAGCCAGTGCAGAACAGAGTTATTTTAATGCTTGTGAATTTTCTTGTTCAGGACCCAGTAGAGATGGAACTATCAGTGAGGACACCATTAGAGCTTCCCTCATTTCGGCAGTCAGTGATAAACTGAGATGGCGGATGAAAGAAGAAATGGATCGTGCACAAGCTGAGCTCAATGCCTTGAAACGGACAGAAGAGGACCTGAAAAAAGGACACCAGAAACTGGAAGAGATGGTAACTCGCCTGGATCAGGAAGTGGTAAGCTAAGATTAAACACTGCTCTGTATCTGAGTATTCCTAGTAGTGAACAGAAGCATGTAATTAATTCATTATTAAGCATGATAGAAATATCAGACCTTCCAGTGTATTGCTTTTTAATTATATGTTCTCTTTCCCAGTTGAGCTGCATGTGTTCAGACTGAAGCAAGTCAGAAATAGCAGTGACCGTAAGATGTATTTGTCCTGCATGTATCTTACAGATGTCATCGTGCAGTAGTAGACAAACAGTATTATTTTTCCCCATCCTCTCTGAGAAAGATGCCAGTGGTGTGACATTATCTCATAACTGTGTCTCAGTTTCTGGATAATAATAATATGTAAAAGCAGCACTGGAGAACATTTCAGTGTCTTAGTGCAGAGATACTGATTTTAGTCACCGCCTTCTTGTGTAGCTTGTAGACTTTTCCTTTCCCAGATGAGAATCTCTCCTACTCAGTATGCTCAGAAATTCCTGCATTTTTCCATTAAGGCCTGACATCTTTTGCTTAGTCCATCTGCTCTTTGCGTCACTGCTCAGGAGTAAGATTTTGGGATTGATGAGCAGTTTCTGAAACCAGCTCAGTGCTCAGATATGGCTTAAAAAAAAAAAAAAAAAAAAAAAAAAGAAATTATTAGTCAGGACTAGACAAGAGGGAATACCATTATGTCACTGTATACATCTATGATATGCCCACTTTAAATGTAATGTGTAATTCTGGTCTTTCCTATCTTGGAAAGGACATAATAGAACTGCAGGTCTTTGCAAAGGCGAGAAGGATGATCCAGCATATCAGGCAGCTTACATATAAAACATGACTGAGTAAGCTAGGGCTTCAGTCTGGAAAAAAGACAGTGAGGACAGAGAGAGTGATATATAATAATAGTCTGTACAGCTTTGAGTGATATGAGGAAAACCACTGTGGTGTACAGTCTCTTTCAGTGTATTAGCTGTGGGACATCAAAAATATCAGAGGCAAATTCAAAAGTAGTAAAGGAGGTATATATCATACAGATGCAGTTAAATTACAGTTACCATTAGTGGATAAAGCTAGCATATTTTGTTTCCTGTCAATACAGTTAAGTGTTTGTTTGATCCATGCTTAGGAAACTTGTGTAGGAGCTTACTCCAAAAGACACATTTCCAAAGAAAAATAACTATTTTGGCTTTGCTGTTGTTATCTTTAGCTAGTTTAAATGGTTGGTTTTCCTTATGTGGCACCTTCAAAATACTGAGACTATTAGCATGCCTTCTCTGCAGTTATAAATTGGTAATGGATTGACATTACGTAAAACAGCCTTTACTTTTTTGAAAGGAAAGAATCCAAAATCTACAGACTGGTAGCTCTTTCCTGTGTAAAAATTGTAATGGAAACAAGTAAAGAATCAACTGGCATGTCTAAAAATCTTTCATCTTGACAGTTGTATCACAAGAAGACCTTCAGCTCTCGAGACCTAATAAATAAATAAATATCTTAATTGATTTTAGGCTGAAGTTGACAAAAACATTGAACTTCTGAAGAAGAAGGATGAGGAACTCAGTTCTGCCTTAGAGAAAATGGAAAGTCAGTCAGAAAATAATGACATAGATGAAGTTATTATTCCTACAGCACCACTTTACAAGCAGATCCTGAACTTATATGCAGAGGAAAATGCAATTGAAGACACCATCTTCTATCTTGGGGAAGCATTGAGACGTGGAGTGATAGATCTAGATGTCTTCCTAAAGGTATGTTTCTTGGGAGGTTTTTAAGATGTACATTTTAAATGTGTTTAAATACTTTGAACTCTTTTGGTCAGGTTTTTAATGTTAGTGATTTCTTCACTGAAGAGGATCCTGTAAGAACATGAATACTTGTATGTTGAAACATAAGTTTTAAAAGAGGAATTTCAGAATTAAGATCAAAGAGCAATATTAAAAGCATTATAGATACAAAGTAATTTATCATTAGATGAGTGGAACAGTGTCAACATAAGCTTTCCATTGGGCTTGCATCCTAATTCGGGAGAAGCTAACTTTAAGGGTGATTGGAGTATTAAGACAGCTTTTCCCTTGCAGTCTGTGGGTGCCTCTGCTGAGGCAGCCAGTGGAGTGTTAGAATCGTAGGGGGAAAAAAAATACACTAACTAGTTTGTGTCTCTAGCAGAGACCTTCTTAGACAAATTTGTTCCCTTTCTTTGCTGTCCTTAATGCTGAAAGTTTTCATAATGTCTGATCTAATAATCTTCCTTTATTTTGAATTTATGTGCGTGGTGATGGCACATGAAATAAACGCAGATCTGTTGTTATTTTGAAAAGACTAAAACCACTTTTTAGTGGGGAATAAAACTACACAAAATGTATATGTGAGAGTAATTAATGTTGCCATTGGATCTGGAAAGATTGTTGTGCAGAAGTGTTATTAATCTGTACTGGGGCCCGTGGGAAACGAGTTACCAGTCCTTCCTTTTTCTAACAGTTGAGGTTTCTCCCAAGTTACAACTTAAGTTTTGCTTTTGTCATCCAGTGTACAATGCACTATGTAGATACATACTATGTCCTTCTTAGGTAGCTTGCCAGTTCTGTTAACTGTTAAAAGAACTGTTCTCTGCCCCATGGGAAATGCATTAGTCTGACTTCAGCTTGGAGTACATATTACTACTTTTCTCTTTGATAAGAATATGTGCAGAGTTACTAATTAAAATCACAAATAATATACTATAGTGCTTGCATTTAGTAGCCATCTGCAAGTCATTTTAAGCCAAAAAAAAATGCCATTTAGTAGACGAATGCATTTAGTGTTTCCAAAACAACTAATAACTTGTTTGGGTCATGGAATGCGTCATGCTTTGAAAAATCTGTATTGCAATGTAATTAAGATTCTATCAAAGCTTTCCCAATAGCCAGCTTTTCTTTCTTTCTGCAGCATGTACGTCTTCTATCTCGCAAGCAGTTCCAGCTGAGGGCATTAATGCAGAAAGCAAGGAAGACTGCTGGACTGAGTGATCTCTACTAAATTCTCAGACTTCAGCTGGGAAGTTAGATTTCCTTATGAAGCAGCCATTCTCTTGATATTTCTCTTAATCAGTAGGTGCCCAGAATAAGTTATTACATCACTCAAGTGTAAGATATTTTGAATCAATAATATATTTTCTTTTTGGTAAAGACTAGCTTTTATTAATGCACTTTCTATCTCCTGTAATCTTTGTGCTGGTGGACTTACGCTGAATAAAACTTGTTGCATATTTTCTTCCTCTACAGAACGGTGTACAGTGCGTTTCCTTTACAAACAAGCCTGGCTTATGCAGTGTCAGCTGAACTCCTTACTTTCTCCTTACTTGTGAGATCTGGCGGACATTTCAGTGTCCCAGACTGGAAAAATTTACATTCCAGTGTAACTAACCTTTGTTATGACAAGTGAAAGCTGAAAACTAAATTTCAAGGCCCTGCTGTTTGACCTAGCTGTTGATGTCAAAGGATTGTTTTCCTGAAGTGAGCTTAATAACCATTACCTTAACATGCCTGTTCTATCATCAGGTCATGGTTGTAGTGGAGTATACCTTGTGATGCCTTAAGAAGCCTTGATGTATATTGCATTTTTCCACTAGAAAATGCTAGGCAAAAGGGAGGCTGCTACATCTGGTGTTGCACTGCCTGCCAGGCAGAAAATGCTACATGTCAGGCAGCCGTGGGAAGCACGGGTTGTGGCTGTGTGAGCTGGGAAGGGGCTTGCAGTGACAATCTGGTGGTTAAGCACCACACTGTCTGCAGAAGAGGGCATGTTGTACAGAGTGTTTCCCACCTTGGGGTGCTGTAGGGATTGGCGATGCTGCTCTTGCCGCCTCTCAGCAGTGTGCTGCAGTCCTCAGCTGTCAGCTGGTGTGGGCTGCCCCAGCAAAGCTAGCTTGAAAACCAAAGTTCTTGGTCTCAGCACAGTAATCAGCGTTGCTCAAAACAGAGCATTTGTCTTCAGGCTTTTTAGGTTACCATTGAATCTGAAGAGGTGGAAGTTTGTATTAAAAAGCTGGGTGAGACTTCAAGTCCCCCAAGATCATCTGAAAGTTTTGAAAATTATTTCATACCATCTTCCTGTCATCTGCATAAACCATGACCATTGGTAGTCACTGCTGCTCTCTGCTCTCTTCTCAGGTGCTGTTTTGGTCTTGTGGATAGAAGAGAAAGCAGTATGGTAGCTACAGCTTTTCCTGTTACTGAAGTTGCTTCATGAGCACTTTTAGAATAAGCTGAAATATTTTGTTCTGAGAAGTCTCAGCAGCTGCAGTCCATATTAAAAATCTACCCTGGACTTAATCAGGTGCTCTGTTTCCCTTCTTAAGCTACGTGTTGTGTCCTAGTGTTAGAAAGAGCTAAGAGTAAGGCCTTTCCCTCTTTATTCTAGTGAGTTATATTGTTTAAAAATATTGATGACAGAAGATGGTTAGTTCTTTATGTAACTTACTGTTGGCTTTGAGGAATAACTGGCCATTGTTTCTATGCATGGCTACTCTGCCAGAGGAGATGCTTTTCTGTGGTCGGCAGCAAGATGACTTTTATGGATGTCAAGTACTTGAGGGGGAGAGGTTTCTTCTTACATGCATTGTTGTGTGTACAGGTTAAGGAAGACGTCCTTTGGTGCATTGTTTCTTCACTCCCCTAACATAATGTTAATAGAGGCCTTTTCTGTGCACAAAGAAGGGAATCAAGTTTAACATCTGCATATTTAAATGCTTCTGTTACTGTTTCTTCATTCCTACCTCAAGCTCTTAGAAGTTCACTATATAAATAGCTGGAGCCTACACCGGAGTAGCTGCGCACATAACAATTACACAGGTGAGATTTGAGCTAGTGGGACTAAAGAAAAAGGTTTTATGTAGATGAGCTAACTGGAGCTCCAGTTGTACCCCCTATAAAGGAAAACAAGGGAGACAGAAAAAACAGTTTGTGGTTTATTTGATGTTGGAGCTGGTACTACAGCTGGACAGTCACTGTCTTGTTGCATACAGAAACCTTAACATTTTTTAAACATGCTCAGGAGACAAACTTACAGCTAGGCTGGTATCATACACAAAAATAAGGTTCTCTCAAAAAAGTACATGTAAAAATTCCAAAGCAGTGTTAGGAAAATACATTTGGACCTACCAACAGTGAAATATTTAAGCTATTCAGCTGGCAGAAAAGGTTGGTCAAGTGGCTTGACAATCCTTTAACTGCAAGAAAATAGTCTTTGGTTTCACATTGTGTAATATTTAGTTACTTATTGTTCTGAGCCAACATTAAACAAGATGAGGAAAAGGCAAAGGGTTGTCTAGGCAGTGCTGCTTTGAATGCTGGATTTCTGTTACACCACTTCACTGTACAAGACTGACTAGGGTATCTAGCTCTGGCTAAGAACATAGGTGTTTAGGGTTTTCTCTGTTCCGAGTAGTTTCCTAATGTTATCTTCAAGAAACTAATTTGTTCAGATTTGAGCTTTTTGTGTGTTCTAGTTGAGATACATACATTGAAAGTTCTGACCTACATGGAAAGTGCAATATAGGAGAAACCACTAAACCCGTTAAACCGCAGAGTGAACTGCTTGGGCAGATTTAAAACTGTAGTTCCTTCTGGATTCCCCACAGTGTATCTGCACTCTTCCTTAATTTGTCCTCTTCCTCAGGTTTTAGGATCATCTTCACTACATCAGTGATGCCGCTATTGCCCAGTACACAAGGAACACTTAGGAAGACATCATCTTTTATTCCATGCATGCCCTGAAAAGTAGGTAAGGATAGTTAGGCTAGAATTCACATATGTCTATGTATTTTATAGAATGTCTCATCAGGAAAACTGAAACTTAGATGAAATTAACTAGAAAATTATCACTATTCTTCAGAATTAAAGGTTTTTAGTTCTCAGTAAGACAAAAATTAGCAAAAAGGGGCTGCTCACCTTAACAATTGTAGAGATCGGGTGCACTCTTCTCAAATTCTTCATAATAGTTTCAGCTAGATCTGCCACAGAAAGGCCAATAGCCCATGATGTGTACCCCTTCAGTTTGATGACCTCATAGGCACTGCAGAGACAAAGTTAGTCATTAGAAAACAAGTACCCTCAACTGAAACATTTCAAGTTTGTAAGAAGGGCTTTTGGAGGTGCCTTGGTCAATTTGAAGACATCAGAAGCTTGACTGATTTCCTGACAGGACTGAAATGAATGAAGCAGTGAAGAATTCCACTTGCATTTTGCACTACTCCCTGCAGTTACACTGCAAACTTGGAAGTTAAAGCACTTCTCTAATTTAAAGTTCACTAACCATAAAAAGTTAACTCTGCCAAATCTACATTACTCCTTAAAATATTATTTCAAGTCCTATTATGTCTTCATAAATACCATAGTAGCCCAAAACAAATGTCAAGATGCAACCAGATACAGGTACCGCAGTTCAGAGGTACTGTAGCTCTTCACCATTGGTTCTCATGTTGGGGGAAAAAAAAAAAAAATAAAAATCAGTATTTACCTGTCTACCACCTGCTTGTGGACCTCCTTCCAGTGTTCCTTGTCTGCATCAGTTCCCATGTCTGGATGAAGAGCCTTCAGGGAGACGCCAGCAACATTCACTCCACTCCAGACAGGTACTGAGAGTTGCACATAGATTAATTATCTCACAGAAAAAAATTAGTTTTGTCCTCAAATTAACATTTAACACAAGATCTAGTTGGATTAATCTGCAACGTGTCACTATGACTTAGACAGGACTTTAAATACAGCATGACCTATAAGGCCCATCTAAATTGCAGGCTCCTGTCACAATGTTTGATTATATCTTTAGTAAAGCAAAAGACCTAGGCAACATGAACTAAAATTACAGTAACTGTATTTTGCAAAGGTTACTCTTAATAAGAACTTATTCTAAACGAGTCCTGTCAGGAAGCAGACAGTACTGCTCTGGTGCTGCTAGAGAAGTACAGGTTAAGGGAGGAGAAAGTTGCTCTTTCTCCTCCTGTTCTCTAGACTTGCCTCTGCACTTCAATTCCTATATATAGCTCTTGAAGTAATGACGAGATGCCAGTAAAGACAACTGAGCAACTACCAGTAGGTCTAGTGCAGCTCTTTGGGAGTCCCTTGCAGAGAACTTTACCCTCTTGCTGCTTCAGTTTGTTTTTTTTGGAGAGTTATGGAAACAACTTAGCCTAGAAATTTTTAGCCTCCTCATGTTACAGTAATGACCTTTTCCAAGCAGAGTAACTCAGGTCAAATATAGATCATCTAGGGTTACTCTATGCAGCAGAAGACTTAAAGCAGGACTTGCATTCTTAAGGTGCTTGCAGTGCAAAGGTTTTTAAGCAACATTTTGCTGTAGCTTTTGGAGAGGTTTCTTGCAAACAATCAGAAAAAGTTCTATGTAAAAGCCAGCCAGATTTCACCCTTACCACTGGAATCTCCGTGCTCTCCAACAATCCACCCATGACAGCTCAGGGGGTGGATGCCCAGTCTTTCTCCCATGAGGTGGCGGAAACGGGCAGAGTCCAGATTGCAGCCACTACCAATAACGCGGTGTTTAGGAAAGCCGCTGATCTTCCAGGCCACATAGGTCAAGATATCCACTGTAAGTAGAACAGGGAGGGTAAGTGCCCCTCATGAGCAGTCTGACAACTATGATTGTATCTTGTATTCATCTGTAAGGATTTTATGCTAGTTACATGGAATAGAGCATAAAGTAATGCCCATTGCCAGGCCCTGCAGTGAGATAACATAATGACTGCTTTAAAGGGAGAGCCGAGAGGCTGTTCATGCTATGCATGCAATTATCAGTGTCCCTTACTCTGTCCTATGCTAAAGATCACTTAAAAGGCAACTGAAGATCCTAGTTGGGGGCAATGTGGTTTATTTCTCAGAGGAGCAGCTTGCTGAATGCTGAGAGGGAAGATGACACTTCTTGTTATGTGTTTATATGGCATAAGTATTTTCTAAAAGCCCATGCTTGGTCATATTAGTCTAAGGCCACCTTAATGAAGAAAACACTATTCTCTAAGCCAAATCCTCTTATTAAAGCAACACAAGACAAACCTGGGTTTGAGACAATAAGCAGCTTGCAGTCAGGACTGTATTTAACAACATTGGGAATGATGAATTTGAAGATATTCACGTTGCGCTGGACCAAGTTAAGGCGGCTCTCTCCTTCTTGCTGACGGGCACCAGCAGTAACAATGACCAGCTTGGAGTGTGCAGTCACACTGTAATCTGCAGACAAAAGGTTGTGTCAAACTTGCTACACATGGTTCAGAACAGGAGTTCCCAGTTCCTTCTTGTATTGACATCTAAAATTCTCAAGTTTGAGGGTATGGAAATTCTCCTGGTAATTGTTACCCTAGATTTTGCTTCTATAGAAAGTTAAGTTTACTTTTAAGACTGTGGTTCACCAACACAAGTAGCAACTTTAAGGGCATGTCAAAAATCTCAGCATGTAGAATTGGGCAGTGGTATTACATACTTCTTGGGCAGAGATGGGTATGGGGTAGCTGTCGGGATAGCATCCAGCGCAAGTGCTGTGTAGACAAGGAAGAAGGTTCTGCCCTCATAACCTGCTACCTGTGGACACTGTATCGGCACATTAACTGAGGTACGAGATGTCTAACATTTCCCTAGTCAAGTTGCCACTAAACTTAAAGCTGTCAGACATGGCCCAGAAGTAAGCAGCACCACATTTAGGGGCTACCTGGCTGTGAAATAAAATTCTCAAAGGTGCAGGAGTACTGAGGAAATTCATCCTACTCTGAGCGATGAACTCTGCAAAAGAGGATTCCTAGTTGGACCGGCCTTAACAAGGTATATGAAAGTGAATGTCAGCTGAGCAGAAATTAAGTGGCCTTTCCTCCTAACAATTAAGATGACAGGCTAAGTGCTAGATTTGGATCACCAGTTTAAGATCTGGAGTGGCTATCTCCATCTGGAAATAACGGGCATGTTAGAGCCAACTACTTGCCTTTGCCAGAGACGATCTTTGGTGTTCTAAGGAAGAGGCTGCCATGCTGGAGATCTAGCATCTCTCCTCTGAGCTTGTCCTCCACAACATCAACAAGAGCAAGTTCATCAGTTAAGTCCTACAAGAAACCAAGATTAAATAGTAAGTTTATTGCTTCTTTGAGTGAAGTACCCAATTTGTAAACTGTGAAGTTACAAGTATTTTAAAAGCAGTGATCTGTTCAGGCAATTTTGCTCATCTGTATTACTTTACTTGTTCCCAAGCAGACTACTTAAATTAGTCTCCTGGGATATCCACTTTGAGTTAGTTTTGTATTTTTCATATCCACATTCTGTGTGGAATAGCTCTACAATTTAACATGACAAAGAAAAATAATAATTTGATAGCTGTTCATAAACAACCTATTCCTATTTTACAGTTACAAAAAGCAAGCCTGGTGTTGAAACACAACATTTTCAATATAATAATACAGTGCAGAGGACATGTCATCCAAAGTGTCTAAGACCACTTTTTCCAGTCTACACTGCAAAGGATTCCATCACAGTCTGCTTCAGACAAAATGACACAGTTCTTAGAAGGCATTCTGGAAGTTGTTCAAAGGTAAATGCAGCTCAAAATGATACATAGAGCATGTTCTGTCTGATACTTGGATAAACCTAGTTTACAAGAACTACAGCTATTTGTACTCTGCCAATAGCTTAAAGGTTGCTGCTTCACTTCAGGCCCAAAGAGAAGAACGGACAACCAAGTTCATTTTGTGTGCTAGCCTAATTAGTCTAATAAGGGAGATTACTTTTTGCCCCTCTTTTAGGCCACAGGTAGACACAACAGTGCTGCTTCAATTCAAGCTTCACACTTACCTTCATCAGGATGCTGATAGCACAGGCCATTCCAACTGCACCCACACCGACCACACTGATCTTATTGTGGGCATGACTCTGCTCCTGCTTGTGGACGTTGTGGATGAGCTGATCCTTGAGAGACATGGTGGTACACTGCTGCAAGGAAAGCAACAGATCATTTCTCTAGGCTTTGGAGCTTTTACTGACAGCAGAATATTTGTACCAAGCAAGACAGACTTTATTGCATGATGTTAAGAAAATGGATATAAATCACATGGCAGTACTGCCTGAATACAGCAGAGTGATTTAAAAAGTGCATTGTCATCAGTAATTCAGTATTAAGCTTGCTCTAGCTTTCCCTCAAATTCAGCCTGAGAACCACTGATTATGTAGCTGGGTGGCACTCCAGCAGCATTCGTACAGTGTTCTACATGATCATCCATATTACATTTAGGTAAAGGAAGCCATTTTAGTACTTCTAAGCACAACATGGTCTGGCAATCTCCATCGTACTGCCCTGAAAAACTGCTACTCTGTGCTCTGAAGAAAGCCCATCTTAAGCAAAGTCAATTTTATGGATTCGTTTTAAAGTGAAACTGCATAATTTTAAGATGTCTAGAGACTGGTGTTACCACCTCTCCCCCTCTCATTTTTTTTTAGCTACCAGCTTCGTGGCAGCCTGGTTATCTGGGTTCCAATCTGACAGCCACAGGTGTACTGAAATGCCATGATGATGATGATGAAGCATTGCTCTCTCACCCCAGGCTGCCTGCAGAAGCCAACACCGTGCTTTCCCAGGTGGTGCAGCACAGCTTCTGCTTTGCCTGAAGAGCCCGAGGCTGGGGCAGCCTCGCAGACGGATGCAAGTATAGGCACAGCATGATTCTAAAGTTAGTGCTGAGCAGGCGGCAACCGGTTGGGAGCAGGAATGGCCGGAAAGCGTCGGCAGAGCAGGTAGGGTGGGCGGGAAGGAGGGAAGGGAAGCCAGCAGTGCCCATATTTAGGAAAAGCTAACCAAGATGCGTCAGGTCTTCCTTTGCGGAAGCCTGCTGAAGCGTGGCCCGGTATGGCGCACGCTCTCTCCATGTGCCAAGGCCTCCCTTTGCACTGGGAAAACTTTAACGTGCACGTCTGGTGAGGTGCACCCACTCAAGCGTTCCTCAGTTATGCTTAATACTCAGAATCTTTGTTTTTAGAGCGCTATTCCTCTGAAAGAAGCAGGGGGACAGCCAGTAGCCGAGGCGGTATATTAATTAATGCTCCTCCCAGCACCTTCCCAACAGGCAGGTCCCCGAGGGCCGCTCCGCCCGTGAGGGGAAGCGAGTTAACGCACGCCGGCTAAAGGCGGGGAAGGTGAGGGGGAAGGAAGGGAAATGGCGGGGCAAAGCAGCACCCGGCAGTCTCGAGGAGGGTGCGGCGTGTGGAAATCACGCCGGTTGCACAAGGCCGCCGAGCAGGGCGTGGTGCCGGGCTGAAGGCCAGAGCCGGGCCCGGCAGCTCCTCAGGCCGGGGGGACTCGGCCGATTCCCCCCGGGGGCTGGCGGCCACCGACGCCCGCGTCCCCCCTTCCTGCACTGCACCGCACCGCATCGCGCACACGCACACACACCCCCCCCCAGCCTTAACTCGCCAAGGCGATCGCACCTACCGAGCCTCCTCACCCAAGCGCAGCAACTGTCTCGGCGGGGTGGGGAGGCGGCCGCCGCCTTAAGTAGGGGCCGGGCGGCTGACGTGCGGCGGGCGGGCCGCGGCGGTGGAGACGTGCCCGCCGACACGTCGGGGCGGAGGGAGGAGAGGAGAGGGGAGAAGTTGGGCCGGGCCCCTGCGGGAGCCGGGGGGGGGGGGGGCGGTTGGGCCCGCACGCTCGGCGCTGTGAGGGAAGCTGTGGTGGGCGGGGAGCAGCTCGGCCCCGGCCCCGTGAGCCGTTCAACGGGCTCGTCTCACGGCGGGGGCGGAGCGGGGCCGCCGGGCTGGGCTCGGGTGCCGTCGGGGGAGATCTCCCTCGTTAACCGCGGTGGGTGAATGATTGGAAACGTTAGCCCCCCCCCAAGGCAAGGAGGGTGCCCCGTGTGCGCACACCAGCGCTGGGGCCTGCAAAGGGCCGGCGCCAGAGAGTGAAGCGGGGCTGGCGGGGCTCCGGCCCCCGCCCCGGGGCAGCCAGCCCGGCGCTGCTGCTGCTCCGCACCGGCACAAGCCTGCGCGCCGGAGCCTCTCGTCTGGTGGCTAGAAACCTGCTTCCAATTTCCATCTCAATCTCGAGAGGTTGGGGGGTTCGTTACAAACATCCTTCCCTAGCGTTTTCTTCCCCTCTCCGTGTATTTACATACCCACTTCCCACTCATTTGTTAAGTTACATAAGCTAAACCGTTCCACCCTTGCATGATGCTAGCAGTGCTCTGGTCTTTGGGACATCCTTTAAGTGGGACTCTGTTTTTTCTCTTGGGAGAGGCTGCTGTATGGAGTGGTTCAGCCTTCTCAGTGATGCCCAGACAGGAATGCTAATGTTTCCCAGTCATTACTGGAAATACCATGACTGGACTCAGACTGGCCTTTTTCACAGTCACGCTGTCAGCTCCCTATCAGCCTGTGGTTCGTTAGTAAAGCTCAGTCCTTCTCCTTGTTACTTATTTGCTGCTAGGATACTATGAAAGAGTAAAAAATACTATTTCCCTGATGCCTGAAGTTTTAATTTTATACTATGCCACAGGGCTGTCCCACAAAATTGGCTTTTAGTAAACCCATGCTACCTTTTATCCCTTTATTCATTGAATTCCATGTTTGTAGTTAAATTTTCATTCACAAGTTTTCCTGAAGAACTGCACAGACATCAAAAGCACAGGCCCAAACCGCTTTCACCATGGCTCACTTCTTAAATGCATGCTGTTCTCTGGTCCTGTGGTAATGCCCCCAAGTCAGTACATTTACTTAAAATCTTTGCACTTGGATTTGTGATTTACTGTGGGTCAGGATTCTGGGACTGAGAATGTTTCTTCCAGTTGGAGCACAGTAGACACTGAGTTTTGCACGCCAGCTGGCTGTGTTCATTTATTATATTGTAGCTGTTTCTACCTTCTTCCTTTCCTCTTAGGCGTCTTGTCCTTACCCCATGGATTAACAGGTTCATCTTTAATGAAAATCAGGGAAGCATTCATTTAATCTTGTGTGAGTAGCTGGGTTACCTTTATTTTCCCATTCTTGGTTTACAGTGATCCTTTTTTCTTCCTTTTTTTTTTTTTTTTTTTAATTTCTTATACCTTTGTGTCATTTGGCTTAGTTTCCTTTTGGGATTCTAACTCTAGCTGATTTTTGGCAATATCTATTTGTGGCTTCTAGGATGTACTTGACTTCCTTCTGAGGTGCTTATCTTGACATGGCAGAAGGCCTTCCTTACTAATTAACCCCTTTGTCTTCTTCTACCCGTACCAGCCTTTCCATCTCTATTTTGCCTGGGATGTATTTTCTCTCTTCTAAACTTTCTAGTGTACCTCTTCATCACTAGAGTTAGACAATTTACAAATGAGCAGGTTGTCATGGAAGTCCTGATCTCTCCATGACCTCATCCCACTCACAGTGCATGCAAGCATAAAACATGCCCTTCGGTCATGCTAGACCAGAGCAGGTGGTGTGAAGATGGCTATATCTCATCACACCTAAGGCTTTTACTCACCTACCAAACTCTGCTTTACAACTGAAGGAATTTTCTGCAGCTGTTCAAGGCACGCTAAACACCTTGTCACAGACCATCCCAGCGACAGTCCCCTGCTGCAGTGGTGATCCAATGGGAATGGTAGCCCAAAGCCTCATCATTTATTTGACAGTCCATTGGCAAAACAATACAAACAAAAAACACAGATGAGAAAACATCTAAAAAATGCTTGAAACATTGAATAAGGAGATTTACATTAAATAAGCCAGAAAATTACAAAATTTTGGTTCTTATTATAAAGGCCAGCACTTCTGCCAGAGGAGGTTAAATATAATGACCTATTGGTTGCAAAACTAGATGTGCTTTGTCCCTTGCTGCTGCTTGAGGAATGAGTGATGCTTGTGAGATGTGCCATGTCAGAGGAGACTGGTAGCTAAGGCAGGGAAAGTGTGTGTAGGTGCTGAGTAGGCCTAATGCCGCATGAATGCAGAATAAAAGGAAAGCGTATAATGTAGGTCTGTCATTCTGCATTATGGTGGGTTCACTGGGCATCTTGTTCTATCAGAAGTCTCAAGGATGGATTAGGAAGTTTAGTTCTGCATCCCAGGAATCTGTATTTACAGTGGCTTTATATGAATGGGACTAAACATCTCATCCTGGGTTTGGGTTCCAGACATCTGGCAGGACAGGAAATGAACATTTGACAGGAATGAAGATGAAGAAATATTTTCTCCCTATACAAATTTTTACTTCTGGAGAGTTTAAATGTAAGATAAGAGGCTTTGAAGACAAGACTGGCTGGATAGATTAATGAGCATTTTTAAAATATGTAACTAATGCAGAGCAAGTGGTATTTTTCTACTGTTGTGGTGAGACCAAGGCTTCTAAGAGAAGAATGTTGGCATTGTAAGACTGTTCCTATCTTGTGGCTCAGACAAAATAAAATTAGACATGGTTTTCAGGGTGTGAGTTCCAATAAAATTTCACTTGCTTCTGTTTGTGTTTTTGCTATTGAGAACAGAACCAAGACCAAATCTCTGTTATTTATAACATAAGGCATTGGGTTATTCTTAGCTGTCTGGTGCCTGTCAGAAGTCCTACCCTTAGTGGAGTAGGCTAAAGCAAGCTAACCAGGATGTTTCAAAACCATCCTGGTCCCAACATGTCTTTGATGATGATAAGCAGAGCAGAAGACTTCTTTTGTTAAAAAATAGTGTCAGCTTTTAATATGCCAGTGTTAATTCACCTGGGTTGCAAAACTGAGAAGGCGGCTGGGACTGCCAAATTTTTCCTTTTATGTGTCCTTTGGGATCTTAGCAGCAGCAGTAGATGCTCAGGAGGAAAGGAGTCATCTGGTGTGACTGGCATTGATTTTCTGCCTCAGAGAGCTTCAATCAGAGAAGGCTCAGAACAACACAAACAGAATGGGGTGAGCAAATTAAGGGCATCTTTCTTGCACTTGGAAGATGGAGGCCAGCTCTGTTTTGATTTAAGTGATTGACTTTGATTGTAGGAATGGTGATGACTTTCCTCTCTTGTATACATAAGGAGTTTTATTTTTCCTGTTCTTTTTCCGCTGCCGCCTTTCATCGCAGTAGCGGGAGGTGGTGTTGATAGAGGGATGGGGATGTTTGAAATGTGACAGGGTCTCTCCAGGGAAGCTTGGCCCTTCCTCAGCCTGCCTTCTCTCTTTTCTATATCAGCTTTCACAGATTAAACATAAAAAATACAGAAATATAAATTGCTGAATGTGGAAATGTTTATATTTTTATTATAGGACTTAAAATCAGAGCCTTTCCACTGGCCGCAGGTAGCATTTGATCAGGCTTTGGTCAACAACAAATGATGCAACGTTCTTCTTACACAACATGTCTGTCTTTAATCTGTGAGATACCGATTAAACCTTTATCACAAAAATAAAGTCCAGAGACAGTTATACAAGGTGAGTTCCATGTGTGTGTCCCACTATTTCCAATAAATCACAAAGTGTTAGTGAATTTCTCTCCATTTTGCTAATATGCAAGAGGTTTTACACGGTGATGTTTCATTTCTACATTTGCTGTTTGCTCAGGTCCTGGCTCACAACAGACTAAGTCAAATCTGATGGTGCTGGTGGGATGAATAACGACACCAAACCAAGACCTGCACATATTTGCTGTATGAGCTACAGCTCAGCTAGGAGGTTAGCAGTAACCCAAAGCCACCATTGATGCTGTCCGGCCCTGGAAAGGTCAGTGGAATCTCTGGACCTGAGATTTGAGGTCTAATTTGCCCATAAAAATCAGAAGTGTTATTCCCAGCACAATAAGCCCTGCTTTTGCTCCGCAAAGCTCAAGGGATTTGCTTTTGTATGATGTCTGTGGGTGAGGGAGAGACCTGTCACTAGACATAGCTACATCATGTTCCAGTCTTGTCTTACCCTTGGATTTATTTTGCGACCTGAACAACTTCCTCCAGCTTTAATGGCTTAATTTCTCCTTTGTAAAATGGGAATGGTCTTTATCTACCTGCCTGATGGTGGTACTGTAGGGATTAGTTAATTATGAAACACTTCAGATTCATAAAGCAAAATTAAAGTGATGGAGGTTCTTTACCTAAACCAGAGAGGCCTGGACTGCAAAATGGAGTAGCTTGGTGCCAGAAGTTTTTTATACTCCGCTAAATTGTCAACATCAGAAAAACCCCCAGAGCCAGAATTCTTGAAATTCCAAAATACTTATCAGGGTATGGTACAGGAAGCTGCTTCACTCCATAAAAATTTGTATTTTGTGTTCTTCAGATGTGGATAGTATAGCCACATCAAACCATTTGAACTGATCTAAGAAAACTGAAAGCTAAAAGCAGAGTTTCACCTCGGCTTGCACTAATGGGTATCTCTGCATATAACTGATTAGCCATGGTCCACACACCTCCAGGTCCCTCTCCTGGAATGCTCCATGCATGCACATTACTGTGAGGACACCAGCATTGCAAAGCTCCCGGGCTCTTGCTGCTTCACACCCTCCTTTGCTTTGCACTGTCATTGTGTGGAGCGGGAGGGGCTGGCTGATGCAATTCTCATTTCCGGGTATTAATACATATCTGTTTCTACAACCTATTTTAAAATGTGCACTAGGGTAATATATATGGAGACCTGTGTAAAAAAATGTCAATTTAAAGATCCCATACTTCCACAATGCCTTTTTGTCAGACTTACGGGTTTGATTGCAAACTGTTTTCCAGCTGACGTGTTTCAATATGCAGAACTTCCAAGTTACACTAGTTTTTCTTTTGCCCTTAAAAGGTTGGTTATGTTTACAAGTACAACGGCAGTGGATTATGCATTCAGTATAAACTAGATAAAACTGTATTTCTTGCAATGATTTTCTCCATACAAGCTAAAGAAAACTGTATTTCTCTCAGTAGCTTCCTAACATCATGCTAGATTGCTGGACTAAGCCGAATGCATGATTTTGTCTTGCTTCTAAGGAAATTAATTTACTCATGGAAGCATGAGTCACTGTGCAGGATTTGCCAAGCCAAACCCATTCCCTTGATGCAACTCTGAATACTTACTCATTCACTGAGGAACTGCAGGAAATGGGATGCTCAGCTCAATCACACGGGCAGAGATGGAAAGGCATGCCGGTGGGCAGGGGCCACTATTCAGTCTTGGCACAACAAAGTCACAGAGATCTCAGCCAGTTCAGTACCTGCCTCCTGGTGACTGTCAGGAAGAGTGTAATCATTAATACATCCTTATTACTGCCTTCTAAACTGGCAGCAGCAGAACCATTACTGTTATCTAACTTGTTCCTGAGTGCCTGGCAGGTTGCAGTAAGCGGAGACTTTCTATAAATTACAGTAAGGAGCTGGAGGGTTATGAGAGGAAGGTTGTGAGCTGCTGCTGCTTGCCAATTTGAGAGGGCAGGCAGGCTCAGCAGCAAAAGGTCAGCGGCATGTCCCTGCGATTCCATCTGGAGCAGAGACCCCCTCCTGCCCTTATTTTAATATTCTTATTAATTATGCAGCTGTCAGTTTTGATTTACCCAGGATCCCTTCTCAGCCCATCACATTTAATGACACAATATTGTCTCCCCTACAGAGGGAGATACTTTTCTAGCATTTCAGACCTTACATATCTGGTTGACCCTCTGTGTATTCAAATTGATAGGAAGTTATGTATTCTCTTCCATCCAAAAATCACTGTGGCCAAACTTTCATTTCTGTGAATCAAAATTCCAAATTACATTGCCGGAAACTCAGCATCCTATGGTTGAGAAGTTACTGGGCTGTATGACGACTGTAGAAAGCTGAAAATACATTCAACATTACAGGCACATGGACTTGGTGGAGCAACTTCCTACCCTGCCTACTCTACAGAAACAGTGCACAAGAAAGGTGTGAATTCACCCCTTCATCTCTTTCATCCCTTTATGAGATGGGAGCGTCACGGTTGGGACTCTGCAAAAGGAAGCTCTCACTTTAGCAGCATAAAGTTACAGGGTCAAGGAGGCCCTAGACACTGAAAATAGTTTGGTCTGTGTTTTCACAAAGGACACACTTCAGCATGCAGGATACCTCTCCTCAAGGCTCTCACTGAGGACATCAGTCCTATAAAGCATAACTTGTACAGCTCCTTACATCTTCTGGAGCTTTGAACATACGGGTTAATTTCTGTAGCTCTTTGTGGGTCCTGGTGAATAAAACCCAGTTCTGTGCCTGGAGTGGAGTGGGAAGGCCAGAGATCAAGAGGTAACTATAGTCTGTTTTTTTCAGTCTCCTTTTAGAGTCTGGATGCCACAACAGCCTCAGTCTGTCCCACGTTTTGGTGTTCTCAGATAATGCCCAGTGGATATGGAAAATGTGTGTGCCTACAGATGACTGTAATAAACAATTATCCATTCCTTGGAGAAGGAACATTTTTTTAATTTGCAGTTCAACAAACTTAGCAATAAAGTAGAAGCAAACAGCCAGCTGCTTCCATTTCAGTCCCACACTTGGGCCACACCTGAGGCTCTTTAAAAGAGCTGCAGCTGGGCTGGCTCAGACCTAGGATAGCGGTCCTGAGAGGTGACTTTGGCTTGTGTTAGGGTTGAATTCTTCTGCTGTTCTCAGATGGGGAAGGTAGCTTGACTGTTTCTGCACAGTGTACTCTTTTAGATCTTTGTTTCTGTGGTGGTGGTTGTTGGCATCTCTGTGGGTGAATACAGAGGCCTGGGGGAATACACATGGCTGTGAAAGGCAGGTACTGTCCTGAGAGGTTACCAGGCAGAGTTTTAAAATACTGTTTGTATTAATGTGTACTGCTGCAGTGGACTTGGGGCTATCCCCCAGGGGAAAGCTGTGGCCTTCTCTCTGCAAAAGTTCTGCTCCCTGGGCTTTTAAATTTTGTTATGTTTGATTTTATTTTACAAGCAGAAGGTAGCCAAGGGAAAGAAAGACACACACCATTTCTTTAATGACTAAGTTATCTTAGCTTGTACTGTTAGGGATTTATACCATCATCTAGATGTGCTGTAGCTGTATGTTGGCCACTGTGGGCATTCAGTGACTTACACTTTCCCCAGGCTTGTGGGTTGGTGCTGGAGACCTCATTCTATTCATAACAAAGCTAGATGTGAGCCCTATGGTCACAAGTGGGTTCAAAGTGTGGCTTGGCAGGAAGAGGGGGGTGACTTCTTTTCAAGAAATAGTTTTTTTTTCTGGTCTTAATTTTCTTCCTTTCTTAAGTGCCCATGTTTCACCCATGAAATTCGATACACTGTGCTATGACTCAGTACCAAAGGTCTAAACTGTGTCAGTGATTCCCAAGGAAAAGTGGATAGAGAGAGGAGCAGCCTGCATTGCTGACATGCAGTAGTCTTTTTGACTCAGCTTCATTATGCAGCCATAGTGAAATCATGAATATATGTCAAGCAGGTACCAAGCTGAACATCTGAGTTGGGAGCAGAGCTTCACAGCACAGGCATTGTACAGACACACAGCAGCTCCTCAGCAAAGAGCTCATCAACTAAAGAGGCAGAACAAAACAGGGAAGTGAAAGTGGAAGCAGAGTAAGGCAGAATGATTACCAAATATGGTGCTTGTCTTAGTATGCTGTGTTTTTCAAGAACATTACACAAATACTGACCCTTATCTCTATCAATTAATTCAATTTACTTATTGACACTCAGATCTTAAATAGAAAATGAAAAGTTGCTGCTTACCTATGGTCTGCCAATTAATCATTTTCACAGTGCTATGCTAAGTGTGGAGTTTCTGTCTGGTGGACGCTATTTCCTGTATTTGGATGAAATTGCACAAATGTTTAGCAAACATTTGCAGGGCATGGCCTTGTTTCGCAAATTATGGTGAGTCTTGTTTAAGCAGTTGGATGCTACCAAAGGGAACAAGCATCTGACTTTTAGCTCCTATAGGGGAATCCTGATACTCGCAGAGTCTGTTGATTCTCTAGCTTGGGCCTTATAGCAAGAGGAACAGCATGCCTGTGACCTGGATGGTAAATGGAAGGTGCACTCTCACTGGCTGTCTCCAACCTTGTGTTGTTTTTCTCATAACTTCATCCAAATTCATTTGTATCAGTAGACTCTGTGCAATTCTGGCCTTAAGAGGCAATATCTCAGTGCAGGTACCCTTTTAAAAGATGCCAGTATGATGAAAATGTGAGGTGCTGTGAGTGAATGTCATGGATTCTGCGTGTGTGTGTGTGCACAACTACTGGATTTCTGAAGTCTGAGTCTCCCCAACACTTCACCCCCAATATCTGCTCCATATCCTTTTTGCTAGTTTTACATAATTTCTACTTTATACATTCTGTAGTTTGCGGAGGATTTGTTGTGTGTTTGTGGAAGAGTTTTGATATTTAATGCTTTGATGTCAGAAGGGAAAAGATACCAGCATGCTTTGTCTTTTGCTCACTATGTAAGGGCTAATGATTTTTCGAGTGGCAACAGGGATATGCAGTCCCGTTGGCCTGCGTCAACTCCTTGCCACATGAGAAGCCTTTGGACTGGCTGCTGGGGCAGCAGAGCTCGCCCATCGCTTCACTCGGCCTCTGGACCGCAATGGTTGCGGACAGGTCAGTGCCAGTTTGGTGGAAAAAATGTTAGGATTTGTGAGACATGAGACAGACCGGACCCCAGATCTCTGACTGCCAGGATGTGATGTGGTGTATTTACATGTTCAGACAGAAGGAGCTAGGTTTGCTGCTTGCTTTGTGGAGTATAATTCTGTGTGTGTGTT